AGCCACAACTAATAGAGGATTTCTTTGTGTTGAGTGAAAAGTGTACAAGTCCTCTCCATCATAGTGGTATCTATAAGAAACAACCTGCAAAAATTGTGATTGAGACCCCTGGCTGATCACCTGTTGGTGAGAGCAGGTGATGGCCTCCCTTGACATCAAGGAAGATGAGTACTAGACAGGTGTGGCACCAAAAAATTTGTTTCGTTTTCATTCGGATCTTTTGTTATTTAGTTTTTCGGGATTCGGGTCCGAAAGTCAATTTGATTCGGATGAATTCCGAATTTTCATTAGCGGTATGTTCAAATTTTCATTATGTTTGTTGCAGCAAAGTGACATTAGACAAAAGAAAAAAAATTTTTTTTTTTTTTTTTTTTACAGTCCGCAGAAAAAAAAAGCGTGAAGTTTCCCCCAATTGATACCAGACCCCTTAGGTCTGGTAGGAATATTGCAGCTTTCTGGCCAATCGGAAAGCCTGGGGGCATGTAATGACACGCTGCCCGGCTTCCTGATTGGCCGGGAAGCCGACTCTATGCTCCCTCGTCTCAAGTAACTCTTCCTTGTAGAGGCAGGGGGTTAAGAGAGAGATATTATGCAATATACTGGGAAATGTGGATGTCCGGGTACTTAACTTCAGTGACTTCTAGGGTCAACCTGCATTGGTATGGATTTGCACAAGTCTTTAGGCCTGAATATCCCCCAAATTCCTCAATTATGAAAATAGCACTAAGTAAGCAGGGAGGAGAAACGATTGGCCAAAACTTTAGGGTATCTTCTGCTTAGAGTGCATTTTTGTCCTCCGGTGACACCTTAACAAAACTTGACCTGTTGGAACTGTTGCATGAGTGTCAAAGGAGGAAAAGTATCAGTCGTTGGCATTACTACAGGTTTCTACATGTGCACAGAGTAGTTGTACTAATTTCAGAAACCGAGGACCAATGCTGAATTTCCCAAGTTCCCCCAATCATCTATTTCAATACCCCCTTTCAATACTATTAAAGACCTTGGCCACATCTAGAGCCAGAGGCGTATCTAGAACCTTCAGGGCCCCGGTGCAAGAAACCACGAAGGGCCCCCCCCCCCAACCGCCATGGCACTGCATGTTTATCAGGAAGGCTGCCGAGGTCCCCAGCAAGCGTGGGACCTCGGGCAGCCGCTTGTTTAAGATTTTAGTGCGGTGTTCTGTCGAACGCTGACCCAGTATCTGCACTTGCGTACAGACGGGATTAACGAGGAAACCGGCATTTATTTACAAAGTATTTGTTTGTAATGTTTAATTGTGACCGTTAATAATATGCCATCCATGGCAGTAAATGATGGATGGAATATTAACAGTCACAATTAACGATTTAAACAAAATACTTTGTAAATGCCTGTTTCCTCGATAATATTGGTCTGTGCACAAGCACAGATGCTGAGGTTGGCAAATTCGACTACATCGGCGTTCTCGACAGAACACTGGTATCTGCATTTAGTATCGAGGAATTTTCACGAGTATGGGTACTCGTGAAAATGCCCAGTATAGCCACTGGTGTATCCCTAATTAAAAATATAATGCATTGCTGGGACTTGTAGTCCTACACAGTTGGAGCTATTCTGCATTACTGTATAATCATCATACAGCAATGCAGAATACCACCAGCTATGCGGGACTAGAAGTCCCAGCAATACGTTATAATAAAAGTTCTCTAGCAGGGCCCTCTTCTTCGTCTCCCCGGTCAAGTGGCGGGGCTAAGAGGGTCAGGTCCTCACACAGCAGAATGTGCTGCCCGGCGGTGCCTGCAGCATATTCTGCTGGTGACAGCCTCTCCCATCCCTGCCGCACAGCTGCCCGTACATGCAGCGGGCGGCTGTGTGGCAGGGAAGGAGCAGCACTCGTGGGGTCCTCTTCTTCCTCGCTGGGCCCCCCAAGTGGCGGAACGCCAGGGCCCGGTCGCAATTGCGACCGCTGCGACCCTGGTAGTTCCGCCAGTGAGTAGAGCCCTATTACCTGTGTTGTCTGTGGGAACCTGTAGGTTGAGAAAGACCCCACAGATATTGATCGCAATGAACTTGGCTGGAATAACCCAGTTTATTCCAAAGTTTGTATTTTGTATACTTCAACATGTCGCTATCTTGTTTTAATTATGTATTTCAACCAAAAAACTGCACTGAATATTCTTTTTTATCTCTGTTAATTTCTTCAACTTTTTTCCTCTATTAGAGTTGTTTGCAATAATCCACTTATTTATTGCTGCCTCTCCCTGATTTTATAAAACGTGTGGTCCCTAGTTGTCATCAGTTATCTCTTGGGTTAAATGACAGAATTGTTTTTGCAGCTTGGACATCCAATATCATTTTGCTTAATCTGGCAACCAATGTCAGTGTACCATGGTATGAGGGAGAATCAAAAAGTATAGGCAATTTATAAATTGCGTGGTAACTGGAAAAGAGAGAAGCTTGCGCAGTGCAGCATATTTACATAGCCTGTTGGTTAGTTTGACCATGCACAGTACAGTGATCGGACTTTATTCAAGTGGTAGTCATGTGGACAGAAACATGGACTCTCCATTGCGAGATTGCACCATTGAAGAACAATGGCGATATGAAGAAGAACAGTATTCTGCGGAGGATTGTCACCAGCGACGAGACATGGGTACACCAATACGACCCAGAGAGCAAAAGACAAAGCATGGAGTTGAGACATCAGTCTTCTCCAGTAAACATGAAATTCAAAAGTCAGCCCTCCACTAAGAAAATCACGTTAATGCTGTTTTGGGACATGAGAGCCTATTCTGGTACATTTTCAAGCACATGGGTAAACAGTAAACAGTGCAAACTACTGTCAATTGCTGCAAAATAAACTTAAACCTGCAATTCACAGAAAAAGAAGAGGAATGCTGTTCAAAACAGTCCTGTTGCACCATGATAATGCACGTCCTGATCAAGCAGCAGCAACAGTAGACAGTGCAATGTCTTCCACATCCTCCTTACAGCCCGGATCTGGTCCCGAGCAATTATCACATGTTCAGTCCGCTGAAGGAGGCGCTCCGCAGTCACAGGTTCACCTCGGATGAAGTAAAGCAAGTGGTGCACACCAGGCTTTAGCAGCAGCCAAAAAGCTTCTTCTCTGTGGGAATACAGAACCTAGTTGAACGATACAACAAGTGCATCATCTTGCATGGGGACTATACGAAAAAGTGATATGTTCAAGTGCTCAGTTACTTCTATTAAAGCCATTACATTTATTTTGCCTTTACTTTTTGATTCTCTCATATACAGGTAAGGATCACAGTGTTTAAGGTCTCCCAAAGGATGAATTATACAGTGTTTGCAATGAGTTAACTCTGTAAAAGGTTTGAGGCCTTTTACATAGGGATGCACCTAGTCTTTATTTTACCTAGACAGACAAACCAGTATTCAAATACTTGTAGCACTCACTCCCGAAGGAGCCGCTGGATATAACGGGCAGTGCACTTCTGTCTCACCTCTGTGATAAACCACTTAAGATGGATCCACAGCACACCTTGTGGGTTTTTACAAATGCTTTACCAAACAAATAATATTCTGTCTTTGACAAAAGATGTAAAAACAAAATCAAATCTAAACATACATGCAATAGTATCATCTTAGTTATTCAGACAGATCTCAGCCACGTCTGTCTATTCACTGCAATAAACAGTCTTAGGCTAATCTGGGTTAATAACAATTCAGTCCTGAATATTCCCAGCTCCCTACGCTACTGGCCAACCAAAGTTGAGGCCCAAGGTCCTGGTTACACAGTTAGAGTTAATAACATAATGGCCAATGACCTCTCAACACTCCTGCAGCTTGGATGGCAGTTCCCACCTGGCTTGCCCCCCTCTCCAGCCAACTATTCTTGGGCTTCAGCAGCAGCCTGTGTGCACAAATAACAGGCCTCTATCTCCAACAGCAGCCAGGCGGTTGTAAGAGGGTAGCGCCGTCACTCTCTGATGTAATAGGCACAGGATCCGTTTGTTCAGGTGGCAGTTACTTTCTATGGTGCGTCAGCCGATTCCTTCACTGAGGCAGAACCAGAGTTCAGTAAGTGGAAGAACAGGCAGTCTCCTCCACTTGAATCACAACAATCTTTAAGCAGATATCACCATTAAAGAAGAACTATGCGGTCAGGGCTTTTCCCCATAGTTCTTTTTAGGGTAACGGAGGACACAAACTAGCGTCCTCCCGTCACCCTAAGCTCAGTATACCGCGAGCAATAGCTCGCGGTATACTGAGACGCCGGAACGGATCCCGACATCGATGTCGAGATCCGCCCAGCTGCGTGAGTGACAGCTGGCTCTGCCTATCTAGAGGCAGAGCCAGCTGTACCCACCCCCTCCCCCGTCCGTTGCGCCAGTCAGCGCTGGTGGATCGGAGCGGGGAGGGGGGAATTCATCCCCTCCCCTGTCACCGCAGAGAGCCGTGACGGGATCGAGAAGTGAGCGAACACCGGTATCTGTTCGCTCACCTCACGATCTGAGCCGACCTGTGACACTCTCATTGTCACAGGTCGGCTAGAACTATGAGGTGAGTGGAAAGCACTCACCTCGTAATTCTCCTTTAATCACCACCAGGGTTCTGTCTCCTTCTGGGATGATAACACAGACAAACTTCTTCGAGAGTCTCACGCGGTCTGGCCGCTCTCACAGAGGAGGCTGAATCCATTCTTCTTCCAGACTGTATAGTCTCCTGTAGTTTGATCTCCTTGAATTAACATGGTCTCTCTCTGTCTGCACAGTACAAATCCCACAAGTCCCTGCTGCAATGATCTCAGACAATGAAAACCAATTACGTCTCTCCACAGCTTTAACACTATCCGTACAGACTGTAGTGATTAACCCCTTGCAAGGAGAAGTGCTCCAGCAGTACAGCAACAGGGGCTACATACTGTATGTTTACACCAATTCAACATAATAATTTGTGGCCTTTGATTGCTCTTGACAACTTTAGTGTCAAAATTTTAATTTCATTTATTTCACATTTGTTTTTGTTTTTTAGGAAATATGACGGCTAAAGAAGACTACAGTTCACTTGTTCATGGCCTATGTAGCCTGGAGTTCTCTGGAGACAGCGTTCCCTGTCAGCTTCTCCTGACTGGTGACACGGCCTTTCCAGTGCTAGTGACTCCAGCACAACATGTCCTCCTGGCTGCCTCTAAGTATGGGAAGGGTAAAATAGTGGTCATGAGCCATGAGTCCTATTTAAACCAACCACAATTCATGGCTTTCCTGAAGAATGCTATATCCTGGCTGAAACCATCTGTGGGAGCAGTAATTGGTATTAACAGCACACTAAGTCTCCTGGAGCAGACTCTCTCCTCCTCTGGACACAGGGTAGAAAAGGTGTCTGGTCTGAAGAAAGATCTAGGGGTGTTCTGTACAATTGGATATGATGACAGCCAGGCACAGGATATTGTCACATTCTTGAGAAAAGGTGGAGGTGTGCTTATTGGAGCTCAAGCCTGGTACTGGTCTCACTGTAACAAACAGGAGAACGTCCTGTATAATTTTCCTGGGAACAAAATGACATCAGTTGCTGGAGTATATTTCACTGACAAATATGGAGAGAAGGGGACCTTCTCTGTGAGTAAGAACATACCGTGGAGCCCAGTGTATACAGAGTGAGTACCCTATGAATATTTTATACACTGCATTCCAATAATAATTTAGCTTTCATTTTATTATTAGTAATTGATTTAAATACACTTAGAGTAGCTGCATTATCAATTCAGATCACAAACAGTAATTTCCCCAATGTGTATTCAGAGAACAAACCTGACAGAGGTTCTAGCCTTGGCTAATTTAAAACAAGCAAAACAATGTTTGCACTTAAAAAAATAGCAACTGTTTGCTGCAGCATATTTTCTACAACAGTATTGCCATTATATAAATATTATTGCTGTTATTGGGTAATCTTGCCATTCTTGGTAACATTGGGGTAATGATGCAAAGGGACTTCCATTTTGGGTCATTTGGATGCCATTGTTGAGGATTGTGTTCATGAATGGTGGAGTGATTCGCAACAGTTCAATGAAAAGGTCAGATTCACTGAAGGTTTCTGCTCTGATTTACAGATTGCTCCTCCCTATATAAAAAGTTGGACTGGTGCTCAATATACCGCAGGGCTGCTTATTAACCCCTCTCTATCATTGTGTACACAGTATGTCTTTTGTCCCTTTTCAACTCCCCACACTAGATTACATTCATCTTCATGATCCTTCTTGCCCTCAGATGAGCCGACATTTGGTAGTTAACTATTTTATACCGTAGGTCCGTGTGTAAAATGTGTAAAAATATTTTTTATGTGTGCAATTTTTAAATAAGTGCCCTCTGTGAATCGTCTTATAATCCTGTTAAGATGAGTGTTCATAATTCCTGTTATTTTCACACTGTGCCTAAAACTAATAACTACAAATATGTCCAATTTTTTATTTATTTTTATACAGTGTAAATTTTTCAGAGGATCTAAAGCATCTCATGCAAGGTGTTAGTGACCTGGACATCAGTGGTGAAGCTTCGCCTTCAGACCTTCTTCTTCATGGGCCTCTAACATTTCCAGTTGGGGTCAGCAACAACAATCAATGCTTTTTTGGTGCTGCCTACTTCGGCAAGGGACGCATTTTTGTAGGGACACATGAAACCTACCTCTCCAAACCAGAACTGAAGACCTTTATTCTCAATGCTGTTTCTTGGTTGAATATGGGCCGAAATGGAAAAATTGGTGTTCATAAGGAACTGGGAAAGCTCCTCCCTGTTTTACAAAATGAAGGTTTATCTTGTGTGGCTTCTGACTTGATTCATGATCTCAGTGTGTATTGCTGCACTTCTTACAGTGATGCAGAAGCCGAAATGATCCAGCAGTTTGTAGCAGAAGGAGGAGGCCTGCTCATTGCTGGCCATGCCTGGTACTGGTCTTACTCCAACCCAAATGTGCTTTCCCAGTACCCAGGAAATAAAATACTTAACAAGTTTGGCATTAGTATTCTAGCAGAGACAGTTAAGGCAGGAGTTTATAAGGCTTTGGACCCCAAAGCAGGTAATAGTACATACCACTTTCCTAGAGCAGTCTGCCAGCTTCTGAGCATCCTGAAGAATGAGGATGAACTTAAACCACCTCTCAGCTCTTGGTTGAGCAAGCTTAGACAGGATGCCATTTCTTTTTTGAGGCTTCCAGCCAGCCCTCTTATCTCATCTCTACAGCAAGAACTGGTAAATTTAGTAAAAAGGTGTCAATTACCCACTGTCAGTAAACAATGTCCTGTGAAAAACAGCTCCAATGAGGCTTTTATCATTTCTTTGGTTCAAGAAGTCAGCTGCCTTGAATGTCTGGATGACCAGGGAGAAGGTGACATTGATTTATTGAACCAGCATCCTGTTACAGTACAGATTGATGCCACAAACCCAGGTAGAGCATTAAAATGTATCATCTCTGTGTCTCCACTTATGTAAGATTTGTGTTACATGAACAATTACTGCATTACTCCTAGGTGCTGATGCATGGAGAAGTACTGGACTCTTTCTGCCCCCTGGGAAAACTGCAATACTAATGTTTCCAGCACCATCTGCTGGGAAAGGTCTCCAGGTATTCTTTTCCTGAATGCTATTATACATTGTAAAGATAGTTGTACCATTCTTTAAAACTCATTCTTTCAGTTCCCAGATCTAGACTTTGTATTACCCCTTGTATTTTCTGTTTGTTGCATTATTTGACACACTCTAAAAAGAGTTTAAAAAGTATCACATATTAGACATGTGCGATTCGGTTCGTTCCGAAATTCGTTTTGAACGAATTTTCGGAAATTCGGAGATTCGGATGCATCCGAATTCCGAATTACAGCTAAGACGAATGCAAACGAATCCGAAATTCCCGATTTCCCGAAATTCGTTATTGGACAACATATTACAGAGAATTTGGAGCAAATTATAGCATTAAAAGTCACTACCAATTCAGAAAATGTTGTTCATAAAGTTCCATTACACATCCTTAGGGAAGACTATTCTTGTTGATAATTGTAGGAAAGGATACCTAGCAAAGTATGTAAAACAGAACAGCTTCACCAATGCAATGAGAAACGCTCCTGTAAATCCTAGTAGTTCTTGGGACCATATTTGTATTTGTGAATGTTAACTAAGTGCAGTATATCACTGCATTTTAAAGGACAAAAGTCTCTATGTAAACTTTGAATTTATACTTGTATATTTTCAGGTTCAGGTTGGCTGCCACTCAGATGACCTAAGCAAAGCAGATGAGTTTTGTCGTGCTCCTGTGGTTGTTCATAAAAAAGATGTTCTTGGAGAAAAAGTGAAAATATCCTCTATATGGGGAGGTCTTTTATATATTATTGTTAAAGCACAAAGCCATCTGGGTATGGTTCCAGTTTCGGTGTATGGAGCAGAGCCTTCTCCAACATTTATTAAGGGTAAGTGTGAAAAATAGGAATAAGCTGAGTCCAGCAAGGTTTTCATTTTTGCACAATGCATATGTAAAGTGCCGTCTGCTGAAAGGATGGACTTATGTAAAAATTCCATTATGACTTGAGAAGTGGTCAATTTAAAAAACCGCAACCTAAGAGTCAGAAAATTTGATATATTGTCCAAAATCCAGATTCTGAAAAAAGATGAAAGACAAAATAAGGCACACTAACAAATAAAGTATGTTAATTGAGTTTGTCAATTGCACAATCACAAAAAGGGGGGAAAGTGATAATACATGCTATACTCAAAAAGAAGATGACTCTTAGAGGCTGATGTATAAATCTTCAGGCCAGCGTAAATTTGGGTAAATGTTGTTTGAAGGGCATTACCGTCACTAGAAGAAGGGGAGGAGCATAGGAATTTGCTCCTTGGCTCCATTTAGTGGTGGTAATTACGTGCAAACGTCATTTACCCAGCTTTACACTGAGTGCAAGATTTATACATCAGCCCCTCAGTATAACAGGCACTGCCAGAGAACTGACAATTTTCAATTGGGAATCAGTATCAGAATTCCACTATAGGGAAGCTAGGAGTACAAGCAGCACTAATGTGGACATAATAGTGCTGTAGCAGAGTCCCAAAACCATCAGAAAGCTGAATACAATCAGTTCCATCCAGCAAGAAAGAGGCTGGGGGGTTACCCATTAAAGGGTTTTCCCGGCTTACAAAAGAAACTGTTTTCTTAAAGGAGAACTATGAGATGAGTGATTTCCACTAACCTCATAGTTCTAGCCGACCTGTGACAATGAGACTGTCACAGGTCGGCTCAGTAGATCGGGAGGCGAGCGAACACATACCGGGTTCGCTCACCTCTCGATCCTGTCACGGCTCTCTGCCGTGACAGGGGGAAGGGCTGGATTCCCCTCTCCCCGCTCCGATCTGCCAGGGTAACGGGAGGACGCTAGTTTGTGTCCTCTCGTTACCCTAAGGAGAACTATGGGGAAAAACATTGACCCCATAGTTCTCCTTTTAAGGTTTTAATGCACCATTAATATGAAGCGCATCTCCATTAAACAAATAGCAGGTGTTCATGATAATATGTAACAAATAATTATGGCAAAGATGTAGGACATCTTAATGTTTTACAGACATCTAGAGGACTAGAATGTGATGGTGTCATTAGTACAGTATATTTGTGAGATTTGTTTTCATGCAAAAATCGGGGGGAGATTCTGTTTTCTTTTTCTATTCATTAATTTGTATTGTGTCATTTTAGACACATTACAGATCCTCTTAACTCATTTTGATCCAGAATTTGAACTGTGCTTGCAGACACAGCCTAGGATCACACTTCTTCATGTGCTTTCAAGCTCAAGTAATTTTGTGTAAGCCAATGGAAAGCAGTTTTTTTGTTACATCAATAGTCCTTGTCTTCCTGTAATCTGTTCCCTGTTTTTTTTTGTGCGGTGCTGTGGTCTGTTCTATCACAGCTATCTTGAGCCAAGTCCGCTCTCATACTTTTCATGGCAGCAGCTGCTGCATTGTTGATGGAGAAGGAAGAGGTGTAGATACTGGAATGATCCAGCGATTGCTAATAGGGAAGAGAGAGGTCAGTTTTGGGCCATCTACATTGACCTCTGTACACATGAGGAGAAAGTCTTCACATACAGTATCTGTGAATGTTGGTGAAAAAGTGAATTCAGCTGCACATAATATTGTATGTGCCGTATATGGGAGATCTGACTATTACTTCTGCAGATTTTAAGAAGGGTAAATATTATACATGCATATATAGATACAATATATACAGGAGTGTTTTCTATTAACAAAAAAATGATGAAAGATGTCTGGTCTGCAAAGGTACTTATGGACATACAGTATGTTGCCTGACATCCAAAAGCTACAATTTTAAGAAGGCTTTAAAGGGTTACACAGGTTACAAGGATGCAAATATGCTAGTGGTTTGCTTAACTGTTGAGCCTATGTCATCAAATCACTTTTGGACCTTTTGTTTAATACAAGTTATACCAAGATAACACATTACCATCAATATTTAAATGGTATTTAAAATAAAATCTGACCACTTGCAAAATAAGAGTAGAGCTCTTTTTGTATTCTTGTTTAGGTCAGACTAGCCTCTCATCATGGCTGCAAACAATTCGTAACTATCCAGCTCCTTGGGCTGAGCTTATTACAGAAAACATAATTCTTACTGTACCCTCTGAAGCCATCCGCTCACTAGAAGATCCAGAAGCTTTGATGTCTCAGTGGGATAAGATTATGGCAGCTATTGCTGATCTAGCTGTGATTCCTAAGAAATTTCCCCGTCCAGAGAGATTTGTGGCAGATGTGCAGATTTCAGCTGGTAAGTTATTTTTTCATATTTACCATTAAGTTATAAAAGCTAGCCTCTAAGTAGTTCTAAGTAGATTAAAAAACACCAATTAAAAACACCAATTGTTACATTAATTAAGAGGAAATGTATTCTTAAAATGCGAATAATGTGCATGTCTAGAAAACATGCAAACAGTAGTAGTGCGCATAATTAATGACTGCTGCTGCTCTTTCATTGTTCACTAGGCAGGTTTGGATGTGTTCTTGACCAATCTGCAGTGTGGGTAAAGATTTTTCTGTTTTAGAGGTTATTTGAATTTTTTATCCCAATGCTGTACAAAGGACAGGGACATCATTTGTGTACATAAGAAATATGTTTTCTTCAATTAAGGATTTGTGTGTCCAAACTGGCAACAGTTGCCCCGAGGGTTGTTTTGTTTTACCTTCCGCTGTACCAAAACCCCAGGCTAGTGATAGGTAGGGATGGTCTGCCGGTTCGATTCGAACATCGGACACTTGAGCGTTCGCCAAACGCTGAACTTTACAGTATGTTCACGTATGCAGTATGTAACGTCCCATACTGCAAAGAGCCCTCCGAAGCTATAATTGGTTAAAGACTTGCGCCTAACCACAGGCCAGGTGCAAGACTTTGCCCAATCAGGGCTCAGTACTCAGTACTCATTCTGAGCCATGATTGGGCAAAGTCATGATGACTCTGCCCAATCATGTCTAGCCCATCAGATGCTGCAAACTACACAATTGGGCGGAGCTAGCTGTCACCGCTAGCTCCGCCTAATTGTTTGTTTTGCCGGCATCTGTCAAAATGCCATTATGCGGCGGGAGTCATATTTCTATTTATTTTTTATTTCGTTGTCGTGGACAATGCTGGATGCCGTGATTGACCATGGATTACGTCGGTGGATCCATTTTTTTTAATTTTATTTTTATTTATTTTTTTTAAATAAAAAACTTGTGAAAAACGTGTTTTTTGATTTTTTTTTTTTTCCCTTTTCAATTAAAGGATTTTATCAAAAGTCTGGACTTAACTATTTGATTTAACCCTTTAGTGAATGGGTAGGGGTGCAAGTACCCCTTACTCATTCACAAGGGAGGGGGGGGGGGGCGGCATCTGTGTGCCCCTTAATTAAAGGGGTACACCGATGCAAATAAGCCCCCTTGCCCGCAGACCCCCCACAACCACCGGGTCAGGGTTGTGGGGATGAGGCCCTTGTCCCCATCGGCACGGTGACACCTGTTCCCTTTCCGGCCCTGCCAGGCCTATGCTCAGATCAAGGGTCTGGTGTGGAATTTTAGGGGACACCACGTTTCCCCCCGCCCATTTTTGGGGGTGGGGTTCCTTCTTAAAATTCCTGCCAGACCTTAAGGGCCTGGTATGACTTTAAGGGAGAACCCCACACACTTTATTTTTTACATGGGGTCCTTCCTCACTATTCCTACCAGACCTTAAGGAGGAACCCTATGCTTTTTTTATTTTTATTATATAAATGGTCCTTCCTAACATTCCTACCAGACATAAAGGGCCTGGTATTGTTTACGAGGGGGAACTGCACACTTTAAGAGTAAAAAAAACAAAAACGTTTTGCTGCAGCGGGTTCTATACATTGTACAGATCCACCACTTCACAGGCAGGTTAAGGGGACCCCCCAGGCGCAATATTTGAGGGCATTTTTCATTTTTATCTTACCCTTTAAGTCATGTTAAAATTACTGCTCCTTTAAAAACGTTTTTTTTGGGGGGGGGTTTTCATGGATTACTGTCCCCCAGAGCAGTACCCAGACCCCCATACACCTTTTTATGGCCAATAACTTGCATAAAAGCACTCTTAAAGGGGACAATCATTTTCGAAAGTTCGACCGCCATTGACTTGCATTAGGTTCGAGTTCGTATTCAAACTTTTCGGCCGTTCGGGTGTTCGAATAAGAACCGAACACGGGGGTGTTCGGCATCACTAGTGATAGGTTGACTTTAACGAACGTCAGTCTCTCTTGAACCTTATTAACTTAGCAACTGTGTTGCTTGTGAAGAACATTTAATATCAATTACTAAGTGTGTTACGTTTGTTTTAAGGATGGATGCATGCTGGATATCCAATTATGTGTCATTTAAAGTCAGCAAATGACCTGACTAGTACTATGGCTACATGGTGTGTGAAGCAAGCTGATCTTTGGGGACCAGTACATGAACTTGGCCACAATCAGCAAAGAAAGATGTGGGAATTTCCCCCTCATACCACAGAAGCAACATGCAACCTCTGGTCAGTCTATGTACATGAAACCATCCTGAATATTTCAAGGGATCGAGCCCATTCTGATCTAGAGCCAAAAAGAAGGGAAGCACGAATCAAGCAATATTTGAAGAATGGAGCCAAGTTAGAAGAATGGGAAGTGTGGACTGCTCTGGAGACCTATCTTCAGGTATCATAAACCAAATAGGACTTATATCAACATAAGAAATAATAGTTTACTTTGCCATTAATAGGACATAGCGGTCGATTAAAAAGAGTCAGATGTCAATTGTCAGATTCACCATGATTGCCATGTATTTGAAATGTTTTTTGACTGAGATACATTCACCAAAGTTTTTCCTGGTACTAGAATATTCATTTCTCAGCATTCACCATCTGCAACTTTTGCTGGTTTACTTAAAAAATACAGACAAATGGCTAAGAATGCAGAAGAGTCTAGGCAGGCAAATGGGCAGACACTCTTTGTAGATAGACTCTATAGTTATGGCTTACATAGAAGTAGTGTAACATGGTAGTTTGTGGTAACAATATTGATATATATTAACAATATGAATAATTACAAATGTCTTGTTGTAAAATAATTTTCTTGTAGTCCATTAAGGCACACAGTCTCAGAAGGAATTCTGAGATGTTTCGGTTATCTTGCTACCTACATGAAAGTTGGACACTGGCAATGAAAAACTGCACTTAGCCAATATAACCCTTCCTACTCCCATCATGCTTCAGTTTCTTGCAAAAGCAGTAGAAGAGATGATCGTATAACAGAAGGGGTGGGGCCTGTCTTCCTTTTATGAGCGCCAAGAAAATAATTTTAGGGCGAAGTAAAGAAAACTGTTTTCTTATGGGACACAGGAACAGAAAGAATTATGAGCTACAGTATATGGCATGTCCAAAACTAATCCAACTGAGGTGTGGGAAACACAGCTAACAAAGCACTAGCAATGGCACAAAACCAGACAGAAACAATACTCAGAGCTCATAGGGCTGCCTAAAGGACCTGTAACCTCAGTAGGAGGCAATTCAGGTATATTATTTTGGGCAAGGCTAATAGAGGGGCTAGCACTTGAAAACTTGAGGTGCAATGGACAAGTCAAAGGGAAGGGCAACCAACTGGTAGTGTTGTGTGCCCACAGCAAAACACACATTGTTAATGAACTGGAAAGATGGGAACATGCAAGTAGATGTTCTACATGTGCACAGCGGCCAGAAAGTCTCCTGGAAAGAGGGAAGCAATAACGGATTAGATTCTATACGTAACCTTTTTACTTGAATGAAGCCATTGAGCACTTTCAGGTCCAAAATTGGGGGAAATGCCCTATTTGCCATGGGTATGGCAAACTGGTTGGAGTAGAAACCTTGAAATATATTTCTTCTTCCAGAATGATTGCGGGAATGTTGGTTAATGTGACAACATAAAGCAGGCAAAGGCAGAGCTTGAAATTCTAGCTAGTAACCCTTGAACACCATGTACCCTCACCTCTGCATCCAAGATACTTTTGTTCCAGGTGGTTGCAATAGCTAACAGATGTTCCCCGGTTTTGGAAGTGGGGGTGCTCCCTCATTGTGAGGAGGACTTGCTCAAAGGTTTGTAAGGGAAGAGTGAGACTCCTGGACTTAGAATTGGGCTGAAAGGTCTAGGAGAATTGAAAGGATCTTTCAGAGGGTGGAGGTCTTCCAGCCTGAGCCTTAGCTTTTTTTTTTTTTGCAGGGGTTAAAGGGTACTTTCATCCCCAATGACATCTTTTAATAAAGCTGTTCAGGAAGCACCAAAGAGGAGTTCTCCATTGCAAGGCATACACCACAAGCATTTGTTGCACTGCTGTTTATGAGGCTAGCATTTAAGCCAAAGAGCCCACAGAGTACCTAGAGAGAGGGGACTTATTGTACATATGAGATGTATAATATCCACAAGTCCATCAACACAGTAGTGAGAGGCAATAGGCATAAGTTCTAAACCAAAGTAACATTTAAGATTATTTCAGGTAACTAATTATTTCTGTTATGTTCATTTGCCAGGCCTTACAAGCTTTGAACCAAGGGTTCAAACTTGTTCAAACTTGTAAGGCCTGGCAAATGGACATAACAGAAATTGCAGGTTTCAGAGCAGGAACTGCCAGGGAAAGGAGGGACTTGCAGAGGGTTTCCATGTTTTTGTCAACTGGGTCTTTGAGCACCAGAATGTCCTCAACAGGAATGGTCAGGGTTTTGTTAAGGCAAGAAATGGCTGGGTCCACATTGGGGTGGGCCCACTTCTTAACACACCTCAATATGGTATTGCACAGCACAATGTTTAGGAGGTGAAAATAGCTTATCTGGCAAATTCCAGTCACCATACAAAAACAGTTGTAGTAGCAAATACACAGAAAAGGTTTTCATGTATTGTAGACTCTTGGTGGAACTCAGAGGTAACTTTAGAAAATTAAGACACGTTTCTCTATCTGGACACGTATGCACCACATCATTAGAAATGAAAAATTATATCTTTAAGCCTTGGAGTTATGTCCGAAGACTGAACCTCCGTAGGCACAAAATCATCCCAAAAGGATAGGATAGACTCCTCATCATACTCAGTTGTGTGTGCAGAAGCAGCTGCAGACATATTAGAAAGAGATTCTGGAGCAGAAAGCGTAGACAGATGCTTGTTGCCCCTGTGTTCTGAGTGAGCAAGTAAGTAGGCACTCTGCATAATGTACCGGACCTGTTAGAATCGTGAACTGGAAAGGCCCGCAGGACCAGCTACCATGCATGTATGATACACCATACTGCTAGTATGGAAAAGTGAGATATTTCAACAGGGTTACTCCCCAGCTGCAGAAGCAGGAAAGGTTATGTGACCTTTTGCGACCAAGTCACTGCAGGCATCAGGGAGGACTGAGCTTAGGATCCTTGTGAGGAGCTGATGGTGATCCTTCTCAGGTCAAAGGCTGGAGAGGCAGAAGAATGGCGCTTGCAGACATAGGGCAGCATGGTGCAGGTGCATTGATAGGGCTTGTGTGACAAAAAATTATTGTCCGTTCTCCTAGGACACTAGCAAGAAACTATATTTTGTGAGTGACTGGGTTTTTTTTGTTGCCAGTGTCCAATTCTGCTGTAGGTTGCAGTATAACCTATGTCTCAGAATTCCTTTTGACCCTCTGTTCCTTTATGAATAAGACATTTCTGATGTCAGATGCCTTAAAAATGGACCGAACTCAAAAAGTGCAGATTTAATGTTACTGTATAGGGAATTTTTACAAATGTTAAAATCAACACCACGAAAATGTACCTTACCTAAATTCCGGAAAAATAACTGCACTTCCTGGTATGGGAGTGTGCCTAGACACTCCTGTGCGTACAGCCTCAAAATACAGTACACTTTTTTTGTGCCTTTTTTTTTTTTCTATTTTGTTTATTTTAATGTTAAATAAGATACAATAAAGGGTTAGTTCACCTTTTCACGAAAAATGAAAAGGTGCTCTAACTCAACAACACCCTCCTCCTGGGAGAGTATGTTGATCCTTGCTTGCTATCCATGCCAGCCTGTATAACAGTCCAGTAACTTGAAAACTTTACTACACATCCCCAGACTGCACTGACCAATCACAGCTCCCCATTGCAGCCATTATGTGCTATACAACCTCCGGGGGTGTGGTGTAAATTTTTCAAGTTCCCAGACTGTTGTACATATTGGCATGGGTAGCAGGTGAGGGCTGTCATTACAGATAAGTGGTGTGGGGACTGGAGGGTTGATAATGGTGTTGTGAGTTAGTTCACCTTTTCATTTTTGTTTAACAACAATAAAGCAATAAACTAAGATCAAAAGTAACATTGTCAGATGTGACTGGAGTGTATCCTTCATGTAAATACGTCATCTAACACTTTACTGCATAAATGATAAACTACATGTATAGTTTTTATATTCTTTAGTTACAAGAAGGCTTCGGATGGGATCCCTTCAAGCGTCTCTTTGCAGATTACCAGACAATGTCAAATGTCAGCAACAACAAGACAGATAAGATGAATCTTTGGGCAGAGAAGTTCTCTCAAGCTGTCAATAAGAACTTGGCTCCATTCTTCAAGACTTGGGGTTGGCCCATTGACCAGACAACCAGTGGGAAGTTATCTGCATTGCCTGCCTGGGAGGAAGATCCTATGAAGAAATACACCAGCTCTAAGTAAATATAAAAGGTATGTAGAGATTCCACACTGTAACCTACTGTAAGAAGCTGATGTTTGCTCTTGTGCAATATAAAACTAAAACCTAGATATTAGTTTTGCTCCAGTAACCATTTTATAGCTAAAGAATTCAAGATCATCTTTTCTTTGAGACTTTTCCAACAATTATATCAATAAGAGTGTTTGATTAAAGAAAACTGGAAGAAAGGGAGCAAACTTTGTCAGGTCTGCAGGCAACTGAGTGCCTGTACATACCTACAGTAGCCTCCCAAACCATCCTGTCATGGCTGAATCACAGGCTGTCCTAACTTTACCACTTCCCTGTAGTATAGTAGATTGCACATCTCATCCTGCATATTCCTACAGGCCAGCAAGGCATAATTAAGAGCCAATAGGAATGTTTGTGGACATGGCAGAATTGTCTGTGCTTTACCTATCAGAACAGTCGCCATTCATGTGTGACAGGTAGGTTTGGGATGTTGCTGCAGGTATGTGCTCTAGATCAGTGGAGATCAACTTACTTGGTGCAGCCCCTAAAATCGCCAAAGGGCCACACATAGTATTCAGTGAATTTAATGATGGAGAAAGCCGCAGACTGCAGATATGCAACAGTAGATGGTCAGAGACTATGGGTATGCTACCAGAGACTGCAGACATGCTATAGGTGTTGTTGAAAACTGGGTACATGCTTCAGGAGACAGATATAAGCTGAAGACATATTACCTGACACTGCTAGAGATGACTGCTATTACTGCCCCTTTACAAATCAATGCTTCCACCCAAAAAAAGCCAACACCAGGAAGTTATAAATACAACACCAATTGATGCATTTGTGTATTTATTAAAATCATTTTAATTTATATTTAAATGCAACTAGTGTAGGTATCTGCAGTTGCCTTGTAATAGCCTGAATGTATGCTGTATAAGGTATGTGAGGGAAGGGCAGATATCCATGAAGGAGTTGCTGCATGCAAATTATACTGACAAAGAGCAAGCTGAGCAGAGAAAAAGAACAGTCTACGGTTGCTTCTTTACTGTCTAGTCACAGACTGGGGGCAGAAAGGTGGCCACGCTGTTTTCCTTCACTGTAGAAGAGACTAGACAGGTAAGTACATGGCTGTTCCTTCTGCCAGAGTTATGTAAATCACTAGCTGAATAGAGTCCTTTGGCAGGTAAGCAGCTTCCACATATGTATTTTAACTGTGTGTTTGCCTAGAAATAAGCTCTAAATACGACTTTTACCCTTACATATATGCCTTTTTTTCTGCAGTACTGGCTGCATCTTTGGTTTAGCCATATTCCATGGTGATAAATGGTGTGTAAAATGTGGACACTTGTGTCTACTCTTTATTTCCACCTTGCTAACATTCCATCACAATCTAGGCTCATAAGATGAGCAGTGTGGAAGAACAAACAATTTCAATAGCATAACCCAGTTTATTAAAAACAATGTTACACTCACAGTACTGCATATTTAAAAAAAAAACATCAATGTACTAGACACAATGAGGTCAGCTGTTTCATTTTGACTTTCATGAAATCACACTGAAGAAATGTAATTGGACGGAGGAGGCGACTTCAATACATGTCAAACAAAATTAAGCACAAATAGAATCTGACTTGGAAATACAGGTGAAACTCGAATAATTAGAATATCGTGCAAAAGTCATTGCAGTAAGTGCTGCAAAAGGGGCCCAAACCAAGTACTGAGTACATATGCATGCTTGTACTTTTCAGAGGCCCGATATCGTTCTATGTACAATCCTTGTTTTATTGATTGCATGTAATAATCTACTTTTTTGAGGTTGTGGATTTGGGGTTTTCATGAGCTGTAAGCCATAATCATCACAATTATGACAAATCACGGCTTGAATTATCTTGCTTTGCATGTAATGAGTCTATCTCATATATTAGTTTCACCTTTTAAGTTGCATTAGTGAAATAAATGAACTTTGCACGATATTCTAATTATTCGAGTTTCACCTGTATATATTATAGGCAAACATTCTCTTGGTTTGGGAGTAGCAGCACATTAAAACAAATTTCCTACTACACCCTCTCTACGTATCCCAAATCCTCATGGTCGTAATTTCCAGGCCATTCTTTAAAGCACTATGCACCTCTGGGGCAATAGACAACATAAAGTAAATGCCTGCAGCCAAACACAAACTACAAGAAGGCATAGTCTTCCTGACCCCATCTCTACCACAGAGCAATACATAAGACTAGAGTCCAGGATTGGTGCAAGAATTTCTCTACCATACTGGAATAAGGACAAATAGAGCCACCATTACAGAGCCTCTTCTGGCTCCCAAGCCCGATTAGCCTTAAGGGGAGACAACATCACACCATTTGAGTAAACCTTCAAATTATCATAAAAACAGAGTGACCCTTGCGAAAAGCTCCACATATCTCAATGTACTTCTCTATAACAGGGCACCCCTCCTTCCTTGTTAACTCATTTCACTAAATCCCCTATTGTCCAGACAGCAGTCCAGTGTAAAACACATTTGTATCCTCTGCAAATTTGAAGACAATTCCAGAGATACAGGCTTTGGATGGGATTCCAAAATGTGAAAAAATTGTCTTCTCTCTTTACCCAAACCCTTGAGGAAAAAAGCAAACACAACTACCCCTTTTGAAAATGCTGCCGTAGGTTATGCTCTATCCCTCTCTTATTGCCTACTGAATCCACCTCCAGTCAATTACTCTCAACAAACTACTCTGCCCCACCTGCAGGAAAGGGAGAGAGACCTTGGAACCTAATTTTTGGGTGTCCAATGTGAACACTTTCTTCACTTTGCCCACATGTCTTCTATGTCAAATAGGATACAGTAATCAGGCTTCAAAATGTTTTACAGGGTTCCCTTGACCCTACATAGGATCTTTCCTGCAAACTTCCCCCTTATGCTGGTGCTGTCAACGGTAGACAGGTGCAATACTTCACCTTTTCTGGCATTGTTCAGAGTATAGCCCATTTGGAACATTGTTTCATGAGCCAATTAAAAATAAAAAAAACTTACAAATATTGACCTAGGTAAATATTCTGCAACCTACTTAATGTTTAGAGAGGTGGTTTAGATGCATTGATACAAGTATTCTCTTCTAATTCACTTGATCAATGCAGCCAGAAAGCAACCCCCACCTAGTTCCAGCCCTATCGTATTTGAAAGTGCAGGAATGATACACCATGGATGACCTAATCTCCACACTCAAACATCAAGCAGAAAAGCTAACAAAAATGTGATCCTTGCGTAGGATGACAAAAAATACAAGAGATACAAGCGTTTAGGGAAATTTGTAGGTTTGGCAAAGTGTGGTTATCAAACATTTTCCCCAGACATTACCCTACTGGTACTTCAATTGCAAGATTTTAAAGGGTCACATTCAGGCTGCATTTCAGTGCATCATTAATTAGGCATAGCTGAAGGTCTAGATGTCCAGTCTAGAAATGTCATTGTGGGAGACGTTACAGGTCATCTGGCTCTGTAAGAAAAAACTATTTGCCACTCTCCCAACTCTAAAATTAAAATGGGCAGCCCATATATTGTGGATATTTTACAATTTAAAATGTATTTTAGAGTTTTGAGTACTGCTGAGTTACGGTGTGTCTATAAAAGTCCAGTTTCAAGTTGTCCATCATTTTCTTCCATTGAAGAAATGGACATGGCATAGAACATTCCACTATTTGATACTTGCTTTACAAGCCCACAAAATAACATTTGCTATACAAGTCACAAGCTTGACCTTTCCATCATTTAAATTCACATGAGTAATATCTTGCTGTTTTGACATCCAACTGGGTAAAAAAAACCATTTGGTATGTATTCTCTGAAACAAATAATCTCACATAATAGCTTTACAATAGAGTTGAGGATAATTCAATGCCTTCCATTCTACTTAGTTTCATAATGAGTTTAAAAGCTACTGAGATTTGTTCCTTACAAACTACATTTCTTTGACAGGTAGCATGGTAGGTAGTGGTCCTGGTCAACGTCATAGAACATTTGTAGCACTGCATTCACAAGTCTTCTTTAGATAGCATCTCACACAGCTTTTTGTAAGTCGTTGTCTTCAGAAGTCTCCTCATTATGAGATTGGTCTTCGGGCTTCTCAAGCTCAAAGTTCTGAACAGAACAGTGAGGAAATAGATGTTTAGTGCAAAATCAATTATGCAACATACCAAATCAGAGTTTATTTCCGATATAGATCCAACAGACACAACAGTATACTCTAACACAAAAGGTGTAATAACCTAGGGGCATTTGTTTATCTTATGCACTTTTACATTGGTATGCCCAACTACTGTTTAGTATCTACAGAATTAACTAATTCTGGGGAGTAATTTTAAAGTGTATGTGTAGCCAGAACTTTTTTTGGATAGGGTAGGGAAGAGTTAAAACCTTTCACTTTATTTTTTGTTGCCTGTGTCTCACTGAGATTTTCCTTTTACTTCCTGACCTTACAAGTTTTGGTAAACTTCTGCAAGTGTAGAAGGTCTGCAGCTGTAAAAATAAACTTCTTGATATGATGGATAACTGGATTATATGATGTTTGGGTATATCTGCTTAGATTTCAGCTTTAACCGCCTGCTGGCCGGCCATTGTGAATGAACGGCTGGTCAGGAGCTCCCTGGATGTGACAGGCTGTCTAAAGATGGCCTGTTAGCCCCGCCCACTTGCGCATGATTGGGAAACTGCCCACATGTAAAAACAGGCAGCAATGCCTGTTTACATACGAGCAATCCGCCGGCTTTAGAGTCGGCGGATCACTTGTATAAGGTGCTGGTCTGTGAACCCCCCCACCGTCTGAAGACCCCCTTCCGCTGGTCCTGAGCTCCGCTGTGCCTGGGACCAGCATGGTGGTTCTGCAACAGGGGATCAGAGGCAGATCGGTGCACGATCTCCCTCCATCCCCTCTCCGTTGTCAGAATGCAGGAAGTGATGTATATTACATCACGTCCGCATTCTTGTGCCACTCGCCAGCTTCAGACATTAGGGGTCTTGGAGAACCCATTTAAATTGCAAAAAAAAAAGTCGCACTTGAAAAATTAAAAAAAAAAAAGATTTAAAAAAAGACAAAGACCCCCCCACCCATACACGCATGCCAACATGTGTCGGGTGCGAATACGTGCAAAAATGACAATTGCGCCCATTACACCGCACATGTAAGATATTGCCTCGAATGTCGAGTGAGAGCAATAATTTTAGGGCCATTATTCACTGATAACACTAAACTGATGAGCGGTAAAACGTCGCCTGTGGTCAATTTTGGGTATGGTTTTTTTTTTGGCGATTTTGCGGGCGCGCACAATTTTAAGGCTTGACATGTCTGGTGTCTATTTATCCGACGTGACCCAGTCTTTTATATTTTACCAAAATAATACACATATGACTCCTGTGGCATCACCATTACCTCCAGTTCCCGCATCACTTCATCTAAGAAATCTTGTGAGTTCTGTTTGTAAGATACAGCAAGTTTGATGGCATCTGTAAACAACTAAAATGAAAAGCAGTAAATAAGTTGTACATACAGAGAGTTCATTTAGAAATGCAGTTGTTAAATCGTGAAAATTGTGTCTCTCCCCCCCCCCCCCGGGCTGGTAAGGATTTAATGCTCGTTTCGGCAAGATGGTCCAACAGGGTAAAGCTGCCCATACACCTTCCAACCATCGCACGACTTTCATTCTGCGATGATTGTAAGGTGATTAAAATTTCGTACGGTTTGCCCATCTTGGACAGGCAGATCGTACTTGCGATCATCGCAAGCCCTCCCCGCAGAGGGGAGAGCTTCCGATGTTTGAAGTGCTGAGCAGGCAGTGCAACATTCGTCTTTCGAGCACGCCACCAACCCGCCGAAAATCTTATGATTTTCGGCAGGTTTTCCTGCGTGCTCTGAAGACGAAAGTCGTGCGACCTTACAGTAGAAGCGGTCGCACACTGCCCATACACCTGCCGATTATCGTACGATCGCGGGGATCACCCGCGAGTATCGAACGATAATCGGCAGGTGTATGGGCACCTTAAAACATACCTTAGTCAATAGTCCCATGGCAGCCTGAGCTACGGTCCTTTTCTCTCCCTCCTCAGAATCTTGGCAGACACTCCTACATCACCGCGTATAATACTGTAGCAGTGGTGGCCACTGGCCCTGCATTGTAACTTATCATGTCAGCCAGAGGGGAGGTGACAAGACCACTCCCGAGACTGGCAAGAAGAGCAGCTTTGTGGAACAATCCATTTAATAACTGCCAGAAGTGGACTTTATTAATTGAACACTGATATTATTATCACCACACTATTTGTGTTAAACTCATCAGTGCAGGTGATGAACTCCAATAGCATGCATTTAGGGAAGGCATAGACCTTTTTTGTTAAATAACCAAGAAAAAGAGATCAGTTTGCCTCTGTGGGTAAATTTAAGAATATAATATCCATGAAGGTAGACATTTTTCCATTACATATACAGGTTTTGCTTCCTGCTCTTCAGCGCTACATAGTGGTAGTAGCTTTAATGCTCTCAAGGCAAGTGTATAAGTCAGACAAGTGAGAGAAAATAAAACAGGGTATACATGGTTAGAATTTAGAATGAATGAAATCTATTTTGGAACATTCGTTTGACTTTCGAATCGTTGATCGATTTTAGATTTCGGCCACAGTGAAGAAAATATTCGAAGGAGCTTGTTAGAAAATTGTTGGATGTTTTTTGTTCAGGGAACTCTATTCATTCCAAAATCTAATGTTCAATGAAAACGAAAATCAAGACAAGATTCAAAAAGACAATTGCCAAGTCTCTGATGGCAATGTTGAATGTTCCGACAGGATTTTTCATACAAACGTTTGAAAATCTACTCGTGCATAACTTACGTAACACTCTGCGTGTGACTTCTCTTATGTCAACAGTTTTTGACAAAGAGCCCCTCAGCACTCCCCTCCAGCGGTCGGTCTACAAATCTCTATATTTAGAAAACCCGGTGATAACACATGGAGGTAGCCAGTTGCCTAACTGTTATCTGAACTAGTAATTTCAGAATAAACTCAACAATGGCAGCCCATTCACTTTCCTTTAAATAAGTGAAAGGCAATTATACAAATGTAAATATCCATAGCAAACAAAATAACTTCAGTTTTATATAGAGATGAACAAAACATGATGTTTGATTGTAGAAGTACTATTCTCCAACACATATATAAAAGTCATGCTTTTCCTGGTAAACTTAATAGATTCTTTTCATGCATTAAAAGTAGAACTATAACCTCCCATAAAAAAATAAAATAAGTGCTGCAGCACTTAAGCATAACTGCATCTACAGTTATCCTCGTAGTCCCCCCCTGCAAAGTCTCACAAATACCCATTGAGCCTGTCAGTAAAATCCACCTAATGCAGCTCCCTGAGGTAGGGTGGACACTATACTGCACTGCTCCTGAATTTAGACCAGAGTTGCCACTCTCATGCCTAATATTATCCAGGACAGGGGATATAATGTTAAAACATGACATTAAAATGGATTTGACTGATAGGTTTGTCACTGATCTATACAAAATAGACCAAAACATAATTTTTAAAAAACCCAAAAAAACAAAATAGGTCTCAAATGTTTGCAAATACTGAAAAATATCCTCCAAATAACCTATGATGTTAGCAAATCACTTTCACAGGTCACATAATTAGTTGAATAGGGCCCACCTGTGTGCAGTATCATGTAAGTGTCACATGATCGAGTAGTGCAAAATACAAACCAAATGCAAGTACATACACTGTCGACCTAATTATTGCTGTGAAACAAAATACCTGTGTATGCAATCAGTCACAATGCTCACATGGTCAAAGGAACACTGTGAGAAATGTCAGTGCTGCTTCTCTTGTCCTGAGGTAAACCCAATAGAGATCAGGCTCAGACCCTTACTGATCACACAGGTACACACATCTTTAATGACCTAAGAGCAGCAAATTTCAACAGTAAATAAACATTACCTTTACCACATTGGTACCATCTGCAGCAGACACAAAGTAGAATGGCAGGTTGTGCTTCTTCGCAAAGTTAAATCCTTTCTGAGTCACACGAAGATCGGCTAGAAAACAAATAAGTGACAGTGATGATATATTACTAGTAACAATGTAGAAGACAGGAGACATGCATTATGTGCTCAGTACAGATAGACATAATCCGGAAGTGAGAATAGACATGTTACTTTACAAAATATGAACTCACCATCAATCTTGTTTGCCACAACAATACAAGGAATCTCTGGTCTGTACTCCCGCAGCTCCTGGTACCAACTGGTAAGATTCTTGTACGTAATTTTCCTTTGTACATCAAATACCTATGTATAAATAAAATGACTTGAGCAACAACAAAAATGCAATGTAAGGCATGTCATATGTTCTGTACAAGCATAGCTCTCTAGTCCACCTCATATCTGAAAGAGGAAATAAAATGATGATTTGGGGGCATGAATTAAAACAGTAGACCACATGGAACCTTAACTTCTTGTTAACATCCCCACTTGAAAGTTAATGTTCTCCCAGGCAGGTCCCAGTTTTCAGATGACATTTAAGTCCTTTTTCTATGTAGCTGCAAACTACCGAGATCGTTCTCATCTCCAGAAGTCTTTTTTTTCCCCAGTGCCAACAGGGTAACTCAGAGACTGGGTTGGTAACCACACTCAATTCATCTAACTCATAAACCCTTTTACTCCTGTCAACAGCTGAAACAAGCCTGCAACTACAAATTTCTTTTTTTTTTTTTTGTGTCCCATGCCAGGTTCAGTCACTTATGTACAAATGATTGGGCGGCTGTAAAGCCACCCAATCACTTCTACCAGCAGGCATTGCTTCCCTTCCAGTTCCCCCTCTCCTGGTCCCTGGACTCAGCTACCTAATCTGTGATCCTGGAATTTTTGAAGGAGAGTCAGGATAGAGAGTGGGAGGAGATCACTGAATTCTACTTTACCCGAGTTGATCAAACCTAGAAGTGCTTAGCGCTGAACAATTATATAAATAGAAGAAAATAAATTAGTGAAAATATTTGGAATAGCATTAATTGTGCAAAATATGTTACACATTAAAAGAACAGCATTTGTTCTGATTTTTGTCCATTTCTCTGCTTATTATAAAACATATTAAAAACCAATTGCCAAATGAAAAAAAATGGCGCAAAACTATTTTGGTCCATAGATTGGTTTAAAAAATACTGTAAACTGGCACATAGTAAAACTTCAGCATTGCGTCTGGTCACTGTTTTGATTACCCCTGGACATGAAAAGATTAAAAGATTCATAATTTATATTTTAAAGTTTATACATTTTGTCTTGTTTTTGTCCTTTTAGGTGTCAAGCCTTCTCTTCAGCCTGTTGACTTGTGTGAAGCTTACCATGATACAGGCATGTGCTTTGTGATAATAGGAAGCATGCATGCTTTGGAATCTTTCTTGCCCTGCTGTATCCCAGAAGTCTGAAATAAAAGAATACATGGAAGTAGAAATGGATTAAGGCAGAATGAGGCCCTAGGCAAGGTAGCAACTTTGCCTTCCACCCCCACACCGTGCCTTTGATTAACATTGATAAGGACTGCAATAGACACAGAGAAGCTGCCCAGTTTGCATGGTCTGTACTGGCATAGCTGGCACCATCAGACACAAATTGCCTACAAGTGCATCCACCCGTTTGAAGTCACAAGCAGGCGCTTTGCTCTGACCAAATGCCATATTCCCAGTTTTAATTTAGAGGCACAAAGCTTGCAGCTGGGCCTACTAGATCACCATCGGGCCCTGGGCAAGGGTTGCCTTGTGAATCATTCAGTTTAGCAAGAAGGACATTTTTAGAAACTAAAATATACTTAGAATGGAACTCAGCAAAAGCATTAAAGGAGAACTATGAGGTGAGTGCTTTTCACTCACCTCATAGTTCTAGCCGACCTGTGACAATGAGACTGTCACAGGTCGGCTCAGTAGATCGGGAGGTGAGCGAACACATACCGGCGTTCGCTCACCTCTCGATCCTGTCACAGCTCTCTGCCGTGACAGGGGAGGGGCTGGATTCCCCCCTCCCCGAACGGACGGGGGAGGGTACAGCTGGCTCTGCGTCTAGATAGGCAGAGCCAGCTGTCAGTCACGCAGCTGGGTGGATCCAGACATAATTGTCGGGATCCGCTTCAGCTGCGGCGTCTCAGTATACCGCCAGCTACAGCTCGCGGTATACTGAGCCTAGGGTGACGGGAGGACGCTAGTTTGTGTCCTCCCTTTACCCTAAGGAGAACTATGGGGAAAAGCCTTAACCCCATAGTTCTCCTTTAATGACTTTCCACTGGTGTAACGCATATGAGACAGCACGGCGCATGGGCTTTAATGCCAAGCTGGTGCATATATGCGCTCATTTGCCTCCACTGTTTTGTGCTGAGAGGACACTCACTTGGCACTCCCAGCACAGTGACCAAGTTGTCCTAGACAGCTCTCTATCACAGTTTACGACAGGGAGTCAGTTCCTGATCATGTAACTACTGTGATAGTTAATTACAGTGATCACATGATCAGGAAGCCCACCTGCGACTCCCCTCATTCAGAAACCCTTGATGGGCTGGCGGGTGTCAGTGACAATGGGTTAAACACAGAGTTGTAATACATACTGTATATGTGAATACCTTTACCTGCCATGATTTGTAGTCATTTAGCTAGTCTTGGACACTATACAAAACAAACAAGTGACATCCATATTTCCTGGATCTGATTTACAAAGGAGAACCATGCTGAACCTGATTTAAAGTGGCAAGTTTATGTGAATCACAAGACAAACTGAACACAATTACAAACACTTAAGAGGAAAAACAGTTCACATATACAGTATGTATTTCAATTTTACATTCCGTTGTTTGCCTGGAGTTCCGATTTAATGTAACAGCTGATACATAACTTTAGCTAAATGATTTGTAGGGATGAGTTAATTAGCACTTACCTACAAGGACAGTCTTGCCATCTACAGTTGTAGTATATTTATAGAGTGTCAGAGCAAAGGTTGAGAGCTGTTGTGGACGACTAGAACAGGTTAAGGTTCAACAAAAAACAAAACCTAAAGTAGTTTAATACCTCCCTATTTTTTTATACCAATTATATACAGCTACTCCTTAACTGGGGTTATTTTCACTTAATTGCCTTTACATATTTACCCATAAATGTGTCCCCCCCACCCTCCAATCTACCAATAGATAAATGACAAAAGGTGCTCTCTGTCTGGGGTGTGTGTCTCGCATAATTCTGCACCTCTCATACCAGTCATATTTGTCTTCTAACCCAAAACCTTGCATCAAATCAACACAAAATTCCTAGCAATCTTTTTAACAAGGCTAAGAAGGTTCAGAAGATTGTACAATGTTACCATTATGTCAAGAGATGTGCTTTTCATTCATCAGTGTCCATTTCTATTTCTACTGTTTACTTAGGCCTGTCAATCACCAGGCCCATACCATGCTACCTTTAAAGCAGGCAATTTGTTTATGTAACACAATCATAGGGAAGAGAGGTGAGAGGTTGTACAAAGACCTCGCAATCTATGGTGAGAGGTGAATTGGTTTAGGGTCATTTTTGTTAATACGTTTTTTAAAGTGTTTTATTGCTTAAAAGCTTTACTATATCCCAAAACAAGAAAAGCACATTATATGCTTTATGTTAATGAGGTGCTAATAACATTCACAATGATTTTCCTAAGTATACACACTGGTAAAATAACTGGGATATTTGGTATTTAGGGGACTTTGCTATGCATAACAATATATGTAAGATGCCACTGAAAGCAACACAATTGCAGTTGGCAGTTTTCTCTTATGGCACTAGTAAATGGGACGCGAGCTGTGTGTTAGAAAATTTCAACACATCTATATACAACATTTATTATAATCATTATAATTCTGTTCTGATTATGTTATTAAAACCCCCTTCTGCACAACCACAAATGTTTCAGCTTATATTATTTACAGACATTATTACCTCTGATCTGAGCACACAACATACTTATTAGCAGGTACACAAAACAGCATATCAAACTTGCATGAGAGTGATTGGGCTGAGAATAAATATTAAGGATACAATCCATCCATAAGGAATCGTTCCATTAACCTGTAATAGAAATGAACCCAATTAAGAGATTATACTGTTCAACAAGATGTTCTCTCTCTCTCTCTTCTACTCCTGTAAAGGCATTTTCTGCAAAGCTTATGCTGGTTAAATAAAGCACGCCCCTGGGATCCGAGTGTAACTGCTAAAAGGTTAGCATTACTGCCTTTCAGCATTAAGATCTTATATTTTATTTCAGCTTAATGATTCTAAACTCCAGCCTAAGAGCAAAGCACCTACTATTACCTTCATTCAGTGGAAAACCTTTCTTTGTGTGCTTGGGGAACACCAATTCTAGGATGAACTTTGTAATGGAAGCTTCAACGTCTTTGATTTTGGAACTAAGCCTGCCCCTTACTCCATTCTGATTTTTCATAGAGCTTTTTGAGATCCCTGAAAACAGGGGTAGGTGCCTGCTCTGGGTGCCAATTTAAGGGCTCAGTCTTGTTCCACACATTTTGTTGAAATTCACAAAAGTAGGCAAAATTAATGTACAGATAAAAATACATTGCTATATTCAAGTGGCCCCATTCATACCAAGCAGTAGGTTGTGAGAAAATGCCGTATGCTGCATTTTAAGACCATTTCATGCTCCATAGGCAGCAATTAACAAGCATTAGCATTTTACATGCATTTTCAAAGATCATCATTGGGAAAAGAGAAACCAAGTCAATACCTTTTCTCGTCACTTTGTCTTGCTATAGCCAGTATTACACATTAATTAGTATATCAGCATGGGATCTGCTTTTTTTTTTGCTGGAAGAGCAAGCCATCATAAAAGACTGCCAGAAAAATGATCAACAGGTTTCCATAGACAACAGTGTCAGCTTTGTTCTCAGCATACAAGTTTTAACCCTCCAGTGCAACTGGACTGAGTTTCAAGGTAGTTGGGATAGTTTAGGAAGTCAGTGTTAAATAACCCCTACCTCCCAATAAATAATTCTTCACCTTCCTGTTATTATTATTATTATACAGGATTTATATAGCGCCAGCAGTTTGCGCAGCGCTTTACAATATAAGGAAGACATGACAATTGCAATACAATTCAAGAGAAGATGGTAAGGAGGGCCCTGGCCATGTGGGCTTACAGGGAGGGAGGGGCAAGTGATACATGAGGAGGTAGCTGTGTGGGGATGAAGTGTTTGAGAACATGATGGTTGAATGGTTAGGTTGAGTTGGGATAGGTTTCCCTGAAGAGATGAGTTTTGAACTAAAGCCAAACTTTTTTGGCTTTATTTCTCTTTTGGGTCACATGAGAATATTTATTAATGTACTGCTGTGATCCAAAGTCATCAAATAGCAGGCTACTGCCGGCTATATGTGGACAGTGCAGAGCCGCTCTGCAGCCGGGAGGGATCCTGACAATATTGTCTGGATCCACCCCGCTGCATGATTGCCTCTCTAGAGCCAGAGCCAACTGTGCCTGTCCCCACCCCTATCTGTCCCTTCAGTGAGCGCTTGAGGACCAGAAAGGGGATGGGGGAATCCCTGCAGGGAGAAGAGCATGAGCTGAGCGATCAGCAGTCACACGATTGCTTAGTTCTTGGTATAAAGCCGGTGTGTGACAGCTGCAGTGTCATACGCCAACTGTAAATCTTGGGAAGATTATAATTTTCTCTCCCCATACTTCCCTTTAATTAAAAATAAAAACCCCTTTCAACTATTCTTGTAAATAAGCATATGGTAAAGACACCAATTACATGCTAAATGGCCTTATTTAGGACAGATTTTTTTTATAAAGTACTAATTCTTAGGTTCAGTAAACCATATTAATTTAGAATTCACTCTGCTGCACTGAGACCAAGAACAGATTCTTTCTAATAGGCTGCTATGTTCTACAGTACACTTAGGAGTAAAAACCTACCGTGAACTTGTACTTTGCCCATCCACATTACTCTATGATGCATATGGTATGTGTACTCACCACTCTTCTTCTGCCAGGTCATGAGGAAAAGTACATTTACCCTACACTCCATACAGTAAAGTAGGGCTGTTACTTTGCACAGTATGGGGAAACACAGGTCCATTGTAAGAATAAGAACTCTTTATTTTAGAAGGCTGCATGTTTGTTACTTTCACATGGTGACAGGCACCACTTACTTTGACTTTCCAACTGCGCTGTCTCCCAGACAGATAATTTTGACATTCTCATCAGCATCATATTTCTCTTGATCAATCTCAGTGATTCCTTGCCCGTCTTTTGCCATGTTGATGACAACTTTCATGGACATCAAAAAGGATCATCCAGGAGTATATTAATAAAGGCTGTAATCAGAGTGGGTACCGTGACATTCCACCTTTGCAACAAACAACAACAAAAGGAGAAAATAGTTACATAGTGATCTGGTTTTTTTCAAGTAAAATGTGGTTTGCAAATGTATGAAAAAGCCAAGTGTTAAAAAAATCAGTTTATTGAATAGACACGGCGATTATATCCTGGCAGCTGATCAGGTCATTTTTCAACAAACTTATTAACTAAAAATTGACTGCTAAGGGTGACAAGGCCCTGCATTAATAAAATATTACTCTGGATTAATAACAAATATGTGTCTGTTCTTTGAACCAGTAACATGGAATTGGGGAGTTTATTTACTTTAGATTTTAATGTTTAAAGCCTGAGCTTAGCAATTGCGGTACAGTTCAATACCGACCACACATGTTACAATAGGATTAAACAATCTACCCAGTTTAGATACAAAGACATATTACAGGTCAGGTTCAGATGTATTCATACAATTTGGATGCGGTTGTATGAAACACTGATTGATTTAACTGGGGCATTATTAACACCCTTTCACACGATTATTGCATCTGTTTTTGACCAATGATTGCACAGATCAAAAACAGACTGCAATACATCACTATGGGATGCTGGATGTAGGCCGTCTGTTGGACCAAACACAAAAAGTTTGCATCCAGGTTTGCTTTTACTGATCTGACCAGATATAGGCAGACATCTGGCCACCCATAATGGTTACATGGGTCCATGGAAGGAAAATCAGAACAGACAGCGATGTCACATATGTCACACCCATCTCCATGCTGATCTAACTCAGAAGGCATCCGTCTAGAGCAGTGGTGGCGAACCTTGGCACTCCAGCTGTGCCAAAACTACATATCCCAACATGCATCTGCCTCTGGGAGTTATGTCTGTAGCTGTCAGAGCCTTGCAATGCCTCATGGGACTTGTAGTTCCAAAACAGCTGGAGTGCCAAGGTTCGCCATCACTGGTCCAGAGTTACAACCTAAATTACCTGTTTAGGCCCTCGCACATTTTATTGTAAGATATTTTCATTTTTGTACCACTGAACCTAGATGAGATGTGCGTAGTGAGGTTAATACACATTTCAAAGTCGACAAAGTAAATGTCGGCACCACTATGTGCTGAGGACTACGACTGGTCATGTAGCCCACTTGTGTGATTTGCAACCTCCCACAAAACAAAGTTACAATGTATTAAATCAATGTTTCAAAAAACATCATGAAGACTTTCAGCATACCCTAGGTCAGGGGTCAGCAACCCACGTCTCCGGAGCCGCATGTGGCTCTTTTATCCCTCTGCTGCGGCTCCCTGTCCAGGGGCGGAACTACGACCGGGGCCTCGGGGCCTGAGGTTGTGGGGAGCCCAGTGAGGTCAGGTCCTGGGCACCCCCCGGTGGAATATGAGGCAGTGCAGGGTCCCGGGGCCCCCGCACTGCCGACGGGCTTCTTAGCAAGCAGGCAAGTCCTGTGACTCACCTCTTTTCCCAGCCGCGTCCCTAACTGCTAAAAAACTGGGTGAGATTACGTTAAAATGTGTGACCACGTGACCGGTCACACATTGTGACGTAGTCACAAACTTTGATAGAAAACCGCCATCAGGGGGGTACAGCCAGTACCCATGTGAGGGGTCTGGGCAGCCTCTTACATGAGTATCAGCTGTACCTGGGGTGGCATGGCAGAGGTGATGGGAGGGGGTGGAGGAGGCCAGGCCCCAGCAGGTAAGAGGAGTTGGGAGGAAGTAAAGGGACCCCGGCGACCAGCCCACCTGAGGCCCTGCAGAGCCCACCATAGAGAGTCTCAGATGGGCTGTGCAGGATCTATGGTGTGCTCTGCCAGAGCGTTACTAAGCCCACATATACCTATATACATGCTACACAAAGCATAAAAGTAAAAAGCGATATATGCACTGTTATCTTCTTTTTAGATGTCAAAAGGGTTTTGTGGCTCCCGGTGTTTTCTTTTCTGCGGGAAATGGGTCCAAATGGTTCTTTGAGTGTTTAAGGTTGCTGACCCCTGCACTAGGTCTTATATGAGCCCACACAGCTTTAGATTTCTAAACTCCGGATATTGTGCAATGAGATTTCAGCATGTGTGGTCTGTTCTTTTACACCAGTGTTTCTCAACATTTTTGCAGTCATGGCACCCTTTAAAAAACATAAATGTAAAAAATGGCACATGCCGCCCACCCCCCCCTCAAAGTCCATACCAGACCCTTATGCTGAATAGGGGTCTGGTATGGATTTTAGGAGGGATCCCACACAAAAAAATATATGGGGGGTACCGTTTTTACACTGGAGTCCCCAAACCACAAAGTCTTACTGTCACAACAGTGGCAGCGGCAGCATGGAAGGAGACAGGAGGTGTACTTCTCTACTCTTCTGAATGGATCCCATCCACAATTATCAGTTAATCACTAGTTTCCTTTCCTCCATCTAGATCTGTTTATTACACAAAATGCAGCGAAAGACTGTTGAAGGTGCTGGTGCCTGGGCAGACATTCCATTTGGCCAGACTGTGCCGCTCCATAAGGGCCCTCTGAGACTTAGGGGCCCATTTATACTAGATGTGATTGGGGTGGGGGCTGGGAACCTTTCCCACTGTCACTTGCAGGGCAGGTGAGTAGCATACCCTAACTGTTCCCCTACATTGTAATATTGAAATGATGATGAGCAGCAAGCAACCTTCTTTACCTCCTGTTTCACCAGTACCGTGACATGCACAGTGCTTCTTCCATTCCCTCCTAATACCATTTGGACTGGCAGTTAAATAAGCTGTTAGAGTTAAAAGTGACACTAAACTCAGGAGTTAAATCTTAAAAATGCACCTTAACCTTTAACAAAAATGTATCTTATTTATGTATCACTCAGCTATAGATCCTCAAATCATCTCTGACTTTGTGCTGACCCTGTCCTTCCTTCTGGAGGGTGGCTACATTTGTTCTCCATGGTCCCTGTGTGTGTTGTAAAGTAGCCACCACTCCAAGCTCACTCCTGTTATGGACTACAATCTCATGTTTAGTTTACGAATTTGTATTGCGATTGTAGTCTATGACGGGAGTGAGCTTGGAAAGGTGACTACTTTAGAAAACACACAGGGACCATGGAGAACAAATGTAGCCACCCTCCAGAAGGAAGGACAGGGTCAGCACAAAGTCAGAGATGATTTGAGGATCTATAGCTGAGTGATACATAAATAAGATACATTTTTGTTAACAGTTAACCTCCCTGGCGGTAATCCAGAGTGTGGCTCGGGGTAATTTTCATTACCAAAAGCGGTAACCCCAAACCACACTCGGGATTACACAGCGCGTTACTTATCTTATCCCCGCTGTGTCCTCCGGCCGATGCCGGCATCCATCTTCCTGGTTCCGTCCCTTGCGAGCGTCCGCGTCGCAGGGGGGCGGAACCGGCAGGAAATTTAAAAGAAAAAAAAAAAAAAGGAAATAATCAGACCGCCAGGGAGGTTAAGGGAATTGAATGCACCGTTAAGATTTAACTCCTGAGTTTAGTGTCACTTTAAATGTAGAAGTACATATCTTTGGTTGATTCAAAAAAGCTGAAGAAAGTCCATTCTCTGTCCCTCCCAATGTTGCCTGTCAGCTCCTCTCCTGCCAGCAGCCCGATTTGTGGGTGTTCCTGTTACTCCCATCCCCTCTGCTGTGACCGCGCCTGTCAGGGACACTGACATCATCAGATAACACAATAAACAAATCTTTGTTTATGTCCAGTGTCACTGAGGTGCAGCACTTTCAATGTTTTTATTATAAAACCTCTGTGCTGTGGTCTGTGCGATTTCTGAACAAGAGATTCACTCTGAAACATGTTCCTTCCCCTGCAGAAGCAGTGACGGAGTATACCTCTGCTGTAAGCGTGCCTGTATCCTGCCTATCTTACCTAGTTTCTTGGGTTATCCTTAAAAAGGAAATACTCACACATCCAGCATTGTCTTGCTTTAATCCACCATACACTGGGACCTGCGCCGCCATTTTCTTAGCCTACATCATCGGGAGCCAGCTGAATCTTCCAGCCCCCTCTATGATGCAGATGCAGGTGCAAAGCGTGTTTCAGATTACCTCGAAGCTTGCTGGGGTGTGTAATGAGAGTATCCCAGGAGGCTTAGTGCTGTGCTGAGGGCATCATTCTTGCCTAGGTGAGAAAGGTGGAAGCACAGCTAGCTATCTGCCCTGAGCAGCAGTTGAACGGGGGCACATTCCTTCACAGGGGTCCTCTGATGACTATGTTTGACGGAGTACTACAAGGATAAGCAGATATCTCGCTACTCATCATTCATGATAAAAGATCTGCAGGGCTATGGCGACCCTCTCCTTCTACTGCAATGATACACAACATCCTCCTCCTTCTAACTTATATGCATAAGACATAAGTAATAGCAATGTACAATGAAATATCCAGACATGATCAACATTACTCACCTCCATCCGCTTCTCTCTGCTTAGCAACAGATGCATGCGAGCAGAGACCGCGCATGCGCACTGGGAGTTCAGTACAAGAAGCAGCGCTTTCATTTAGCAGAGGTGTTAGCAGGCTTGAAAAAGATGTCTTTCAACGTGTGCGGTTGGCTCGCAATTGGCGGCCATTTTTTCGAAGTCCGAAGCAATACACGTACCCTATTTGGACCCAGCAATATGTCTTCTCTAACAGAGACATAAGTACATCAAGCAGGCGAACAGTATTGCTGGCGGGGGTTCGCTGGCGCCTGTGTAAGCTGACCCGGAAACGGCGTGCTGTGGCGTCCACAGTTGCCATAGAAGAGTAGTGCGGGAGGGGTGACGGGTGAGTGCCCAATCAAGGACATAACCCGAGCTTTTACCAGCCGTATTGTATAGTAATGATAAGCTTTGCTGGTAAGAATGAATGGTGTGGTGTGTGCAGATGGACTTCAACGTGGGCTGACCTCCTCCAGCTTGTCTCTTATAGTCAGTGAAAGATACGCTGCCAGTCAGAGGATCACTAATGATACATAGCCAGAAAATGATTACATAAATCCACAAGTGCTTTTATTTTTTCACCATTACTTGTTCTTACTTGTGTTTTGTGAACGCTTGTGTACACACGTTACCTGTAATGATCCAGATCAGATGGCAGCTGTGTAATATAAAAATCAGATTCATGCATACTGACTAGTGCTTCCAGTGCTGTGGTTATCAGCGCTCCGGCTCTCATACAGGGAAGCCATCTAGTCGTTTACCCTCCCTTTTCTCTTGTCCGTTCACAGTTTAAGAAAACGAATAAATGGCCCAACAAAAATGTTTAAAATTCACCCAGCAGAATATGTGATATTTGATAAGTTCTAACTGGAAATAGAGGAAAGGGTTAAAGCCCCATTCCAGACAAAATTTGACCGTCCTGCTTCCCGTCCCTCCAACCCATCCTACAAGCTTTTTGGGGGGTTCTTACATGCTGATCCAAGATATACTTATCCATGTCCCTCGCCTCCTTCATTTCTGAGCGTGGGGTACCACTATTCCAGAGCTGAAGATGCACCTGAGACTGCCAGTCCCCTACTGCCCCCTTGTGCTAACATTACTTTTCTTCTGGATCCTGAGAGGACTCCACCACTGGACAGATAAGAGGAAGTGCCCACATCACGCAGGTAGTGATGTGGGCATCCAAAGAAGGACCCCGTTGAATGTAAAAATGAAGAAAAAAGACCCAGTACAGGAGGACCACATAACCACGACTTTAAGTAAAAATGGACGTTTGTTTTTGGGGGTTTTTTTTTTTTACACTCCAGTGGTCAGTTAGGGGGTTGGTAGGAAGGGAAGTTAACAGTATCCTGGAGATTGTCTCTACTGTGATCCAGGCCCCCAGTTAGAAAGATTTATCCTCACTTCCTGCCCTGTTGACAAAGTTTCACCACACTTGAATTGAGGGTAATGCTCTGACAGCAACACAGACAAAAAATTCCTTTTTGGGGTAACACCTGTCTGATATCTATTTCTGCCCATGTATCCCTATTGCAGATTTCTCTTTTATTTCCTGCTGGAGAAACCTCGATGTCAGTGAGACAAGAAGTTAGGGGAAATCTCTGCAACGAAGCTGCAGATAGCAGTAAAAAAAATAAAAACGGGTTCTAATACTTGCCCTTTCCAGCTCCACTTTAATGGTCATTTAAAAATGATGCTCAGTATAATATGTGTAATGCTTTTGTCTCCACAGATTGTGTCTTTCTTCCTGCATGGGATCATGTCCGCATTGCGCTGGACTCGCTCACTTCAACTGACTTTAGCAGTTATTAAGCCTGACGCTGTGGCCCATCCAATTATATCTGAAGTAAGCAGGATTATTTTCTAATGATAAAATCTTGTAAAGATGCAAAACAAGGGGAAAAAAATAAGGCTTCCTTAACCAGTTGACATCCGCGGTGTTAAACCCCCTTCCCATCCAGGCCATTTTTCAGTATTCAGCGCTGCGGTACTTTAACTGACATTTATTCCGTCATGCAGCGCTGTACTGAAATGAATTTTATACCCTTTTTTGGGGACAGATAGAGCTTTCTTTTGGTGGTATTTATTCACCACTGGGGGTTTTATTTTTTTACTATATTAAGGAAAAATTACCGAAATTTAAAAAAAAAAAAAGGGGAGACGGCAACCCGCAGATGCAGCAGTGCCGTCCGTCCGTTTTTTTACTACGGGCGGATGGCAAGAGGTTAATAAAGAACTTCCGGCAATCTAAAAATTAACCCTTGCAGTGGGGCTACTCCTGCACTGTTAAAGTTAATTGCTTGGTTTGGTCTAGGGCAGGGGTAGACAACCTTGGCTCTCCAGCTGTGCTGAAACTACAAATCCCATCATGCTTCTGCCTCTGGGAGTCATGTCTGTGGCCTGCAATGCCTTATGGGATTTGTAGTTTCAGCACAGCTGGAGAGCCAAGGTTGCCTACCCCTAGTCTAGGGGCTAAAAAAAGTGATAGTATACTCAGTCGATCCTTGGTCCTGCGGCAGTCACCGCTCACCTCTCTTCCTTCCACTCTGGCGGTGGCATGTCCCTCAGCGTCCTCGCATCTAATGCAGCTACATTAGACAAGTTGAGGTCACAGGTCCATAGACCGCCAGAGCCCCTTGGGCCATAAGAAGCTACATGGACTGGTCTAGCAGCCAAGCAGGATCGAGGATCAGGTGAGTATATTTCTTTATTTTAGCCCCTAGACTAAAATGAGCACTTTGCCCTTGCAGTGCAGGGATAGCCCTGATGCAAGAGTTAATTTTTCCCCAGTCATCTTCCAGGACAGCCATCGAGATATAGGCTCCACCTGCCTGCAACAGGAAACGCATCAACCACATTAAATAAATAGACTCCTCCTTCCATCCCAAGTCAGTTTTTTTGTGACTCCGCCGGCTACACAGGGACATCGTAATATTTGTTGTTTTTAGGGCTCATGTTTGTTTGCCTTAGGGCTGAGCCTACCCTGCTATGCGTTGGTACCTACTCCAGGATTACCTGCTGCAGCGCATACAGGGCTTCCCTATCGGACCCCCATCCGATTCTTGGCCAAGGTTCCCTTCCATCACTCAGGGAAGGCAACCATCCTCCTGCACGTGAGTAGGCGCCAGATGGTGGCCCCCCCTGGTGTACAGCAGTGGCAAGGTGTGATGCCTAGGAATGCGGAGCCCAGGTTGTGGACATTGGTCTGGCAACAACAGGGGCAGCATAGGAGAGGTACAGGGAGGCTGGAGGAGTCCAGGGGTCCCGGCTACCTCGGCAGTAGGGGGCTCTTACCTGATGGTAGGGAGAGCAGTGTCAGTCTGCGGCAGCGTGGAGGTGTGGGCCTCGCGTGGCGGGCTGTGGTGTCTCTTCGCCCCTTGCTGGTGTCTGTGGTGGGAGCAGGACAGCATGGGGGAGAGCATGGCACGGGCGCTAAGGTAGGCGAGTTTTCTTTGGAGATTCTCCCCTTTCCTTTACCTGGCTTGTATTGGGGGCCTGTTCACAGGACAAGCTGGGTAGTGTTATGTGTAACATGGTTTGCATGCGGGCAGAGCACTGGCTGATGGCATCACTCTTGTTGTACGCAGGTCAAAGCCACGGAGGATAAGCCCCTCGCTGAAGCTGGTTGCTCTCGCCCAAAAGGGAAGAAGTGTGCCTCTTGCTTTCGAAAAATGTCAGCTTCATGGTCCAAACCCTTGTGCAAAGATTGTTTAGAGAAAATAGTTGCAAAAGAGTCAGGTGGAATGTTTAAGGGGCTTTTGGACTCAATGAGAGATGAAATGGTTACTACATTTCAGTCTTTCAGGTCGGCGCTCCAGACCCCGGTGAGTACACTAGTGGATGCTAGTTTGCTCGGTACGTCGGGGGCAGGCAGCTCTATTGGATACCCAGAAAGCTGCGTGAGCAAGCAAGCGCCCAGTGAATCTTCGGGATCTCAGGATGAGTCAGAGGATCACGATGAGTCGGAAGGGGAGTTGCGTAGCAGTTCAGCTACAAAATTCCTTTTTCCTTCATTTGAGACGGGTGAGCTGTTGAAAGCCATATGGGATACTCTGGGTATTAAAGAGGAGTCCATTGAGCTTTCGGTGCATGACAAGCTGTACAAAGGGCTTCAGACTAAGAAAGGACGCACCTTCCCGGTCCACAAATCACTCTCGGACATGATCCAAGAGGAGTGGAAGCACCCGGAAAAGAGAATGTTTTTTTCTGCGGGTCCTAAACGCAGGTTCCCATTTTCAGAGGAAGACGCAGGGATTTGGGACAAGTGCCCTTAGATGCCTCTTTATCGAAAGTCTCTAAAAAGACTGACCGGTCATTTGAGGATATGGGGGCTTTGAAAGACCCGATGAACAGGAAAGCGGAGGCTTTGCTCAGGAAAGGATGGGAATCGGTGAGTGCTGGGTTCAAACCTGGCCTGGCTATTACTTGTGTGGCCAGGACTTTGGGAGTATGGCTGAATCAGCTGCAAGCCCACCTGGAGTCTGGCACTGATCGTGACCAGTTACTGGGTTCCCTCCCGGTGCTGAGTAAAGCTGCCGCTTATATTGCACACGCCTCGGCTGAAGCAGTCAGGTACTCAGCACGGACTACAGCTTTGATCAACTCCTCCAGACGAGCGTTGTGGCTCAAAACTTGGTCTGGGGATGCAGCCTCTAAAGCAAAGTTGTGCGGGTTACCTTTTTAAAGGTGACTTGCTCTTTGGCCAAGAACTTGAGGCGGTGCTGGATAGGTCCACAGATAAGAAAAAAAAGGCTTCCCACTGCCACCCAAACAGAAGGGGAAGAAGTTTTTTTTAGTGGCCAAAGGGGGCAGAATTTCCGCCAAGAAAAAAGGGAAGAAGCAGGACCAATCTAAAGCGTGGGCTTTTAACAAAGGGAAGTCTAAAGGTAATTTCCTCTTTAACCCCCCTCAGCAGCCCAATCAATCCCAATGACCGGTTGCTCAGGGTGGGAGGAAGGTTGGGGGAATTCTTCCCACTCTGGGGGAAGCTGACCAGCAACAAATTCATTTTGGAGCTGGTGCTGCACGGCTACAAAATAGAGCTGACGGAGCGGCCCCCGTCGAGGCTTCTGATTACTTCCCTGTCCAAAGACCGGAGGAGATCAGAGGCAATGGCGGGGGCCCTTCAGGATCTGTTGGACCAGGGGGTCATTATAAGAGTACCGACTTTAGAGGAGAAGAGGGGGTTTTACTCACACATCTTCTCCAGGATAAAGCCTTCAGGGAAATGCAGACTGATTCTCAATCTGAAACCTCTGAACAAAGTGGTACTGTACAAAAGGTTCCGTATGGAATCGATTTTTTCAATACGAGAGTTGCTGCCCCCAGGGTCGTTCCTAGCGACCATCGATTTGAGAGACGCCTATTTGCACATCGCGGTAAGAAAGTCGTCACAATACCTACTGCGGTTTGCAGTAAGGGGTCCGGCAGGGGTCCTGCACTTCCAGTACAGGGATCTGCCATTTGGCCTCTCCTCTGCACCTCGAATCTTTACCAAAGTGCTGGCAGAGGCTCTGGTGCCTCTTAAGATCAAGGGGCGTAGGGGTTATTCCATATTTGGGCGACCTTTTGTTCTTTGCCCCGTCAGAGCTGGTGCTCCAACAAAAACTGGAACTGCACTTGGAGAGTCTGGGTTGATTGGTAAACAGGGAGAAGTCACAACTGGTCCCTGCGCAGAGAGTGAAGTTTCTGGGTTATTGGATCAATACCCAGGACATGACCATTGCATTACCAGGAGACAAGGTGTCTCTATTGATAGAGGAGTCGCTGAGGCTGAAGTTACAGAACACAGCCTCAGTCCGGTCGGTGATGAGAATGGTCGGTCTCATGACGTCTACCATCCCAGCGGTTACCTGGGCACAGTTCCACTCAAGGCCATTGCAGAATTGGCTGTTGAGGGTGTGGGGAAGTCGACTAGAGGACTTAGACAAAGGGGTCCACATCACAGAGGAAATCAAGCATTCACTTCTGTGGTGGATGGATTGTCGGAACCTCTCAGTCGGCAGACTTTTGTGTCAGTCTACACCGCTGGTGGTCACGACAGATGCCTGGGGTTGGGGTGCTCACTGCCAGGAGCACATTTGGCAGGCTGCCTGGGAGCAGGCGGGCTGTCTCAAATCGTCAAACTGGAGAGAGCTGAAGGCGATAGAGCTAGCTCTCTGCCAGTTCCGGGAGACGTTAGCCGGTCACCATGTGGCAGTGGCCTTGGACAATGCCGCGGCAGTGGCCTATATAAACAGGCAGGGGGGCACGCGTTCATCTTCCACAGGACTCAGGAGGTGGTCATTCCTTCGGTTGCCGCCAACCCGGCCTCTGCAAGAGAACGGGAGTGGCAGGGTATTGATGTTCGTAGGTGCGTTTTGGAGTACCTCCAAGTCACAAAACCTTGGCGGCAGTCGTCCCGCCTCTTTGTTGTTTTTGGGGGACCCACTAGGGGGAGCAGGGCCACTAAAAGCACGATAGCAAGGTGGATTAAGATGGCCATAACTGACACCTACAAAGCACAGGGCTTGGTGCTGCCAGGTTCGCTCACGGCACACTCGACTCGAGCATGGGCTACGTCCTGGGCAGAGCGAGCAGGGGCTACTCCAGAACAGATCTGCAGAGCAGCCACGTGGTCCAGCTTCCAGACATTCGTCAGGCACTACAGGCTGGACCTTATGACTCAACAAGACCAGTCATTTGGCAGGAAAGTCCTGCAAGCTGTGGTCCCACCCTAAGAGGTAAGATTAGTCCTCACTGATCCTCTCGATGGCTGTCCTGGAAGATGACTGGGGAAAACATGAGTTGATTACCTGATAACTCTGTTTCCAGGAATCTTCCAGGACAGCATATTCCCGCCCTTGGTAAGTATCCAGGTGACATCCGTGGTTGGGTGAAGGAGGAGATACTTTAGTACATGGGGTAGCCTTCGGTCCTAGAGGTTACTGACTTGGGATGGAAGGAGGAGTCTATTTAATGTGGTTGATGTGTTTCCTGTTGCAGGCAGGCAGAGCCTATATCTCGATGGCTGTCCTGGAAGATTCCTGGAAACAGAGTTATCAGGTAATCAACTCATGTTTTAGATTGCCTGGAGGTCTTCTTTAAGGGCTTGTTTACACCATCTCTGCTCAGGTTTGTTTTTATAAACACACAAAAAGTGCATGCACTGTGAAGCAGAACCCTCCTATCCCTTACAGGCAAGGAAGGTGGCATCTTAGTCTGTATTTGAATTGCAGTTGCCATGGTGCTGCACATGAGATCAGCTATGACACCAGGTTTGAAGTTCGGTTGAGAGCTGAAATCAGCACACTGACAACCTTTGCAGTTGACATGCCTTAAAAGTAACTGTTTTGGGAGACATTAAGTGAATGGGTAAAGTTTCTATTTTGCATTCTCCTGTGCACCAGTCAAACTGAAAGGGGGTGTTCAACCACTGGTAAAATAGGAGGAAGAGAACAACGTCTTGGGATGTTTCTAACTGCATTCCTGGCAGTCTCACGTTTCAGAAACTGGGGTTGCATAGTGAAATCCTTGTGGAGAACACCAATCGCACTATTCAAAACGGTTAGAATTCATTGACAACATTGATGAGATCGGGGAGTTATTTGTTGTTGTCTCAAGTTTTCTGTTGATGCTTGCAGATGTCCTCAATGAATCTTTTGTTTTCCTGTATATAGAACAGAATGACATCTGAGACACATCTTTTAATACTTAGTGAAAAACACACTGCAAATTGTTCTGGAGTCTTATATATTTGATATGTAGTAAATTCTTTCCTTTTCTTTCTATCTCACTTTATAGGCTGTACATCAGAAGATACTGAATAACAATTTCTTAATTGTAAGAAGTAAGGAACTTAAATGGCGGATTGCTGATTCTCAGAGTTTCTACCATGAACACACAGGTAAATATTTATTTATTTCTGGGGATAGAAAGTGTATATATACACTGAGTGGCCAGATTATTATGACCACCCCATCAGTACTTCGTTGGGCCACGAGATAACTCCATGAGATGACTTCGTTGGGCGGCCTCGTGACTCCACGAGATGTTGAAAGGTAATGCGAGGAATCTGACACTGCACTGTTGCCCTTCTGTTGTCTTGTACCAGTCTTGCCGCTCTCCGTTCTGCCCTAACATTGACTAGTCGCTGACGGCCACAATTTGCACGTTCAGACCCAGATTTTCTGCTGACAGTCCGGTCTTTAAACACTTAAACAGCTGCTCTTGAACATTTAACGAATTCTGCTGTTTTGCTGATGCTCGCGCCATGGCTCAGAGTGCCAACAATCATTCCACGTTCAAAGGCTGTTAAATCGTGTTGTTTACCCATATCTTCAGAAAAAAATCACTTCTACTGTCGTGGTAAACAACCTGCTTCCCTATTTATAATGGTCTGGCCCTCTAGCAACTTCAGCGCCAAATTATAGCTAATTTGCCTACAAACGTCAGATGGTCATAATTATCTGGCCACTCAGTGTAGTTATCTTGCTGTTGAGTGTTGTGGACAAAGCTTTCATTTGGTTATCTTATTGACACCAGCTAAAGGCACATTCCGGATTTTGCAAAAAAATAAATCAATAAATGCCCCCACATTGTTGATGAAAATTTTTATTTTGCACTGCAGCCTGCGATCAGTGGGTCATGGATGCAATGCACAGGCTCCCGCAGACTATTCCTCTAGCTATTGAGATCTACCAGTCCCTCTGCTACTGTAGTTTTTTTCATTCGAAGCTCCTGAAGGGAAAAGAACCCCATGATTCAGGTGGGGGGGGGGGCTTTGGAGTGTTTATGTTGCACCCTAAATATGAGTGTAACATGAAACATGGACAGAAAGGTAAGCTTAGCCCTTAAAAGGACTTTTATTATTATTATTATTAGAGGTTGAGTTCCAAGCCTTCAACTTAAGTGGTCTTTTAGCTGAACTAATAAGAGAAAATAAGTGCAATCACGACAAGTTATTAGTTCTGCAGTGAATGTCGAGTGTATATTTTGTATAGAAGTGTAAACGAAGAATAATTGCATTGATAAGCCATAATAATGATGTCTTCTATTAGGGATGTCCCGATACCAATACAAGCATCGGTATCGGGACCGATACAGGGCATTTTGACAAATTCCCCGATACAAAGCGCCGAAGCTTGCGCTATATTTTTTGCAGAGCATTGTAGTTTAAGAGGAGCGTTGCGTCACTGCTGCTCCGGTGGGCGGCACTCCAGGTGGGGTCCTAATTTAGGTGGCCGTCGACTGCTCAGAGGACCCCACTGGGAGCGCCACCCACCGGAGCAGCAGTCGCACGACGCTCCGCTTCAGCTCAGCGCCGACGACGTCCTTCAGTGCCGGAGAGCAGCGGCGATTCAGCGCTGGTCAGGTGGGAGGAGCTCCAGGTGGCTCTGGGCAGTCGCCGGCCAGCTAAATTAGGACCCCACCTGGAGCTCCTCCCACCGGACCAGCGCTGACTCGTCGCTGCTCTCCCACTCAGCGACACAGTGAGTGAGGGCAAGGGGGGTCCCTATTAAGCAGAGGATAATTGTAAATCTATTGTCTCCTGTGTATTAGCAGTGTATACTCTATATGTAGTACTTGGTCCTATATGTAGTACTTGGTCTTGAAAAAGTGGTATCGGGACATCCCTGTCTTCTATACATCACCACTCACATCCTCAGTGTGTGTTTGTTTGTTTTTTTCCAACTCCACAGTGTTACTTTCTGTTACTTTTTCAATGTATGCATGGTTTCATATGTCATTGTCTACACTGATCCACCGGTTGTTGTTTTTTGTTTTTACACCGGAAAAAACTTAACTTGTATTTACCACTTTTGTAGCCAAATTGGGATAGCACCTACTTTTATATTTGTTATACGTTCTCATTCATATAGCATAACTTCAAAAACAAATTGCTGCTTCCACGTTAAAGCGCTTTTTATGTGCTTAAAAATCCTAACCAGTTTCATGTAATGTTAAGGAGGGGCAATTGAGTCAATGTTTATAATAAAAAAAAGTTTATAATTAACCCAACACGGGATGCACCGATATATATATCGGCCGAAAATGGCAATTTTGGCATAATGCCGAAAGAGCCATGTTGCGGCCTATACATCGGCACATCCCAGGTTTTTTCCTCCCCGCTGGGCGTGTTCCAGCGGGGACAAAAGAAAGTGACAGCCGGCCGAGCGCTGTGAGCGGCCGGCGTCTCTCCTCCCACACCGCTCAGCCGCCTATCACAGTCCGGCAGAGCGGTGTGGGGGCGGAGACAGCACTGTCACAGGAGGCTGGGCTTTGCTCTCTACACCGCTCGATCAGCCTCCTGTGACAGTGTATCAGAGAGAAAAGCAATGTACACACACTCAGCGATCAGTGATCGCTGAGTGTGTGTACATAATTGAGGATATGGCATGTTAACTATATCCTCAATTATGAATGAATGGGAGTGATCTACATCCCCTCCTGTTCATTCATAATTGTATTTATAGTAAACAAACAATGTTCTCATGTTATCAATGAACAGGAACACTCATAGAGGACTTTGTGTTCTCAATCTCTTTTTTTATTTTAAAATGGAAATATCAGGGGTCTGTTTAGACCCCTAATATTTCCCCGAAGACCCTAAAAGTAAAGTAAAAAATAAAAATATTTAATAAAAAATGAAAATTAAAAAAAAATTAAAAGTTTATAAAAAATAAAATATTTAATAAAAATTGAAAAAATGTAAAACATTTTTTGTTTCATAGTATTTGAGGTTGAATAAAGACATTAGTCCATCAAGTCCAACCTATTAGGATCTCATTCTAGGAGTACCTGTACCCCTGTATATTACGGAGACATTTTTTGTTTCGGTTTTAAAATTTCCATTTCGGTGCACCTCTAAACCCAACCCCTGTGCTGGTAGATTTAATTATCAGTTGTAAACTAGACTTGTACGTTGTCTGTACTAACAAAAGGGTTAAAGGTCTAGAAGCATTGTATGTTAATGAGGAGAAACTGTGTGTTCCTAGTTTTTCAGTTGGGACAGACTCCCTTTCAAACTGTTCAGAATAGCTTGTGGTCTCCCCAGTGACCGACACGAAAGAAACATCTAAAAGCTAAGAAATATATTTTGTTGGGTATGCTGTGTGAATGGGAACACATAACAAACGTATATTTGGGTTTTCTCAAATTTGACTGCAAAAGTGGAAATTCATTTGAAAGAACTCTACAAGTTTCTATAGGTAGATCTTAGAGAGGTAATTGTAGTGTGTAAATTCCTGGCCTTCATGGCATCCTTGTCATGAGATTAACACCCACTGCCCAGCATGATTCCAGGCCCTGCGCTCTGCTATGCATTTGAAATCCCTGTCAGCCTTTATAGGGCTCAACCAAATACTGCAGAGAAAAATGCGTAAACATGCTGGGCAGCAGTTGTACTGAGTGAAAAGCACAACTCTTTATCCAGTATGTGAAGGACACGTTGGAGGTATGAGTAATTTACACATTCCACTTACCTCCCTACATCTACGCATGGAAAATTCGTAGTGTTGTTTTTTTAAGTAAGTCTTTGGAGGACCATAATAACCTTCCACCTGTGTTCATAAGTAGAAACCTCGTGGTGCCACTAGGCCAGTTTTTTTTTTTTTTTTTTTTAAATTAAGATTGCCTACCCTCTAATGCCCCTTCACGTCATGCTGATATACACATAGCAACCAGCTCGGTTAGATGCTGGCCTGGCCCACCACCTTCCCCTTCACTAATGGCTTATCACTGTTATGAGTGCCCTCCATTAAATAATACTGAGGTTCAAGAGACCTGAGCCAGCTACTACAGGTGATGGTCACGCATAACAGAACAACCTGGTATTCTGGGCTACCAGGGCACACTGCAAGAAATGCAAGCTGGCCTCCTGGTACCTTACTATTTAACGTATGTGGCATTTTATTGGGTTGAAACATGAAACGTTAGGTAAACGGCTAAATACTCAGTTGAGATGTAAATGTTTACTTTAGTACCTGCTGAAGATGTTATACTTGTGTATGGAAAAAGTTGTAATTTCCACACCTCTCCCAGCCTGCGCTGCTAGGCAGGAGGCACACTCATTTTCTTCCTGTGTCACTTCTCTACCCCTAGCCTGCTCACTTAACAATGCATCACCTCCTCTTTCCAGTTAGAAAAGTGGTGATCTAGGAAGCAGTCAAATTCAAGCAAGAAGTAATAGAGTGATTTTCCAGAATGTTCACTTTGGCAGAGGTGTGTGAATCACAAGAATGGTTGTAGAAAATTACAAATCCCTGGGGGTAAATCTAGTGGCCCATTGTTGCTCACCTGTAACCCCCATGGGCTCCCACCACAATCAAGGCCTCAATCTATGAGTCCCTTAATGCGACATTGTCTTACCATCTGGTTTGGCCAAATATTTTAACAAAATTAAGTCACCACAGCAACCCTTTGTTACTGCTTTTAGGTAACCCATTATTCTTACCCAGCTTAGAGCTGCCTGGTGCCTTTAACTGATGAAGGTGCCATAGGTTTCAGTATTTGTACTCTTTTACATTAGCAGCTGCTCTATCTATAGCTGGACTAAGATCCAGTTATCAATTATATGCATATTAACCATTGGCTCACATCCGTGACAGATACCCTCAATCTCACCACTTAGTTGTCTGTTTTTGAGCATGTTTGTTACCATATTTCCATTTCCTCTAAATAGATCTCTATTATCTATTCCCAACTCAACCACCTGACTAAGTATTCAGCTTATACATAAGTTTCCAGCTGAAACTTTCAGCCAAGTTAGCTTTCAAAGTCCTGACCCACTGGCATATGGTTCCATCCAGATTGGCGTACCTATATCCCTCCCTGGCATGTGTTTTAGAGACTGTTCTGTTGCTGGAGATTTACTGCACATTTTGTGGTCCTGCTTTATGTTGAGCAGAATCTGGAGGAAAGTATTAAGCTTTTTACAAACCTTATTTAAGAGCCCTTTCCCATGAGACTCTTCATTTGTGACCCCCTTACCTATTAAATCACAATTCAAACTACTTATGTATTATTAGCTGCTAGGGATGCACCAATACTGACTCTGAGTATTCGGGCGAGTACTTGTACTCACCCAAATGGTTCCAATGCCTATCCTGATACCGGAACTTCTGGTATCAGGAAGCCATGCGGCGAGTCATTGCCCACCCCCTGGCTTCCTGATTGGCCAGAATGCCGGCTCCATGCTTCCTTGTCACTTGGAGTCACTACATACCGCCCAGCTTCCCAGGAAGCCGTGTGCAGAATCATTACATGCTGCCCAGCTTCCTTAATGGGACTTCCGGTACCGGTATTCAGTATCAGCAAGTACCGAAAAAAATATCGGTACTCGATACCGAAAAACCAGTATCGGTGCATCCCTATTAGCTATTATACAAACTATTGCTACAGCTTGAAAGAAGCAATTTACACAACTTGCAGAGATCAGGCAATGCATAGACTCGTTCTTCATCATTGAAACACTTACTAGTATACTTGTGGACACCCACAAGAAATTCCTCACCATCTGGACCCCATAAGTCCAATATGCTCAGACCTCACTTCTACTAGAATGTCTGCTTGCCTGTTTCTGCTTTTAATTATTTCCTAATCATTTTAAATGTAAAACATTTAACTGAGACTGGAAGCCTCAAGTAATAAAGTCAAACATTTTAGTCAGTATATGTTTTTCTGTTCATGCTGATGTGTCCAATTTGCTTATTCTGGATCAAAGCATATTTACAGTACAAATGTTATGTATATAACCAATATTTCAATTTTTGTTTAGGACGATTCTTTTATCAACGATTGGTGGAATTCATGTCTAGGTAAAGTGCACATTGTTTACACATTTTCTAGCTTCATCCAAATACTAACTTTCAGAAAATCACAATTTTCATAGGGTCTTAGTTGTACCGCCCCAGTTATTCACTGGGGGGTACACGGGAATACTAAATGTATGCTATAGGGTGCCTGCTTTTGTGTGCTAGGTTTGCTTTTGATGCACACATGATGGGCGTACTTTAAGCTATTCTTGCATGGTAACCTTTTGGATGTATTTTTTATTTTATATATACCCAGTGGCTAGTTTGTCTGGTTCCCTATCTAGTAACCATAAAGGGGTCAACAGCAATGCACTTTAATTCTTAGCATGTTGTGTATTAAGAGATGCCCCTCTGCATTCCACTGCTGTAGAGAATGCATATTTGAGCAGCTGTGGACCTCTCAGCTTGAACCAATCTTCCCCATTCTAATGTTTGAGTGATCAAGAGCTGAAGCTCCTTACCATGTCTGCATGTATTGAGCTACTGCCACGTGATTATTTGATTATCTGTGTTATTTAGTAGGTGTACCTAATAATAGGGGTTACTTACTGTAATAGGTAGATTAATAACTTACTGTTGATTTTTCATTTCGTCAGCAATTTCTGCTGAAATGGATTGATGGAGACCATCAACATTTTAACATCTGACTCTTCTGATTTCTATGCAGTGGCCCTATGAGGGCATACATTCTGGCACATGAGGATGCTATCCAGCTGTGGAGGAAGGTCATGGGTCCAACAAAGGTCTTTAAAGCACGAATTGATGCTCCAGAAACTGTCCGGGGAGAATTGGGACTTACTGATACCCGCAACACCACTCATGGATCAGGTGAGACCCTTCTAAAGGAGTTCCCGTTAGGGATGCACCGATACTGGTTTTTCGGTATCTAGTACCCATATATTTATTTATTTTTTCCGGTACTCACCGGAAGTCCCATTAAGGAAGCCAGGTGGTGGATGATGACTCACCGCCTGACTTCCTAATTGTCCAGGAAGCTGGCTCCATGCTCTTTCGTCACCAGGTGACGAGGGAGCATGGAGCTTCTCGACCAATCAGGAAGCTGGGTGGCGAGTCATTGCACGCCGCCCGGCTTTCTGATTAGCCAGCTCCATGCTCCCTGGTGACAATGGAGTCGGCTTCCCGGCCTATCGGGAAGCCGGGCATCGTGTAATGACATTTAGTGAATGGACGAGGGGAGGGGGTGAATGAATTACAGTAATTTCTGGGATGACTGAAAGTGATCGTTTTACCTAGAGTAGCAACATCCACACATCGGACATCCCTCATTGGAGGCAATTTATTTTTACATGGCAAATGTCAAAAGGCTGTTTTTTGTTTTCTGTAACATTGGCGACAGCGGGCCCTGTAAACAGATTCCCTGGCTGTGAAGCCTCCTGATCCCATGTTTCCCAGGCTCCACTGCCCCTGATGCGGGCACCCGGGACCATGATCAGTGGCGCCATCAATGAGAGGGGAGAGAGACCAGTGAACATCAGGAAATTACAATGATTTAGTAACTTCTGCGTTTTTTTTAATTTGTGCTTGATCAGCTTTAATGGGCTGCAAAGGTGCCAGTAGGGGACTAATAGCCACCTAATGTCTCCATAGAGAGAACCTGTCACCGCTAAAATGCTTTTACATAGGGGAATTGTGAGCCCCTTATGTGACCGCAATAAAAAGTTTTTAAAAAGTTAAATAAAATATGAAAACACCCACATTTTTTTAAAAGGCCCCTGTGAACGTGCACAATTCTAAAGCTTGACATTTTTAGTATCTCTTTACTCTTATATATTTTACCAAAAAATGGGTAATATATTGTGTTTATGTGCACTAAAATTAAGTGTATGTTTTACAAAAAATGTGGGTTCAATAAACAGTTGCACTAATATCATGCAACACAAAAATTGCAACCGCCACCATTTTATTCTACAGGGTCTCTGCTTTCAGGAAATTTGTAATTCTGGAGGATTTAAGTAATTATCAGGCCTAAAATGTACATTTTAACATGTGTGCAAAAAACAGCAAAAGAACTAAAGGTAACTCACCCACATCTTTCTCCGTGCCTATTGAACTTAAAGGAAAAGAATGCCCAAGAGATAAAAACTCTGACATGCCTGTTAACTAGCCATTGAGGGTTGTATTGGCAAAAATATGTATTTTTTTGTAATTTGTTCAATGCTTAAATGGTCTTTCCTTCTAGATTCTGTAGACTCGGCCTGTCGAGAAATCTCAATTTTCTTCCCTGACTTTAATGTAAGTCGCTGGTATGAAGAAGAGGAGCCTCTTTACAGGGCTGGGCCATTATGCTACGATGAAGAGAAACTGGAGCATCGGCTTGTAAACCAGTGAGAGTAACATGAGGCCTTGCACTGTGGAATGCACTACAGCCAATGTTTCACCAATGGCCTTATGCTGGAGATATGTTTCCAATAAAAACAGCAAGAAAATTCAACACTCAAAGCGAAATAATGGAAAGAGCTAAAAAAACAGAAGGTGACATCAGAAATCCGGAAGTGGTCTATGGGATATGTGTTTATTTTGAGTTAGAAATTCTTAAAGTGACTGACTGCATATAATGTTAAGAAAAAAACGGTCATCTCCGGGGGAGTTACTTACACTGAGAATTCTGTTCAAACTTCCCTGCATATTTTTATGTGCTTGTGTGCACTGAAACAAGTCATTGCAAGGGTCTGCCTCCTACACTGACATGATCCGGCCTAATGCTGTAATTTAAAGAAATACTACAGGGAAAAGGGGAGCATGAAAAGGAAACTATTGTTGTGTACACTGGAGGTGTACACAACAAGTGTTTTATACAATGTTTATAAAGATCACCCCAAGTGTTGTCATGCTTGTAAGGAAGTGACTTTTAAAAATCTTGGCATTTTTGAAGATAAGACCTAATGAATATTGTCTAATTACAAGAGCTATAAGTATTCTTACTTGAATCCTGGTGTCCTTTGGTTATTTTTTCCAGATCTGGGGTTCCCCCGTTCAAATCCTGGTCAGGATGCTATATTATTGTGGGTTCTCCCTGTGCTTGCGTGGGTTTCCTCCGGGTACTCCGGTTTCCTCCCACACTCCAAAGACATGCTGGAATATTAATTAGCTCCTGTGCAAATTGGCCCTCTATGTATGCATGTGAGATGGGGGACCTTAGATGGTAAGCTCCTTGAGGGCAGGGACTGATGTGAATGTGCTGAGTAAATTGTCGGTGTTATTTAAATACCAATAATATCTGTGAAGTAATCCGGCATGAGGCAACTCCTGCACTTTCCCTCTTTGCATGAGCTTCCTGCAATAAAGACTGGTTCTTGATGCTACCTTGTGCAGAGTAACTGGTCTTGTATCTGCCCCCTGTATCTGACTGGTTCTTGATGCTACCTTGTGCAGAGTAACTGGTCTTGTATCTGCAGGCCCTTCCACCCACAGCTCTCTACATAGGCTATGTACAAAACAGTGATGATGTCACTGATATTTGTATGAGCAATATCTGGATTTGCAAAGGCCTTTGGTGCACACATGGTGGGTTTATATACACACGTGGCCTATAAGAAATATTTAAAAAACCCGACGCTACTGACAGCTGATGGATTAACCTTCCCAAAGATGGACAATCTTCATACACTGTGCTGCTCCTTCACAAGGGCTAGAGAACCTTCATTAAAAACTCTAAAACCAAAGCACAGAGTGCTCCAACATGTGCAAGATCGTTTTTATTAAAGAATAAAAAAAACAAAAACATAAAAGTGCAGGCAGTAAGCGCATTAGATCAGAGTGTGGGAAGTGTATAACCCATGTTAGCTATCCCCATAGAGGACGCCAATGGCCGATCGGCGTCTTCTGTGTGGATAGACAACACGGGTTATACTAACCCACACTCTGATCTAATTAAGATCTATAAGCGCTGCTTTCGTGAGTATGTTTTTATTCTTTATTAAAACGATCTTGGACATGTTGGGGCAGTCTGTGCTTTTGTTTTAGACTAATAAGAAATATATTTAAAGCAAAGTTGTTGTGTCTGTTGAGTTCAGTTGAGAATCTCAATTGCCTCCAGATTTAAGTATATTTGTTGCATCCATTTTTTTCAGTAAAGTGCAGTTTTTACTTAACTTGTACCCTCTACCTTCCCCAATAATGGGTTCCTTCAAGGGCATTACTTGGTCACAGTAGCTTTTGAAGAGGAGATGCATGGGGGGGGGGGAAACTACTCGTATTGGCTTTACCAGACATCATGAACTGGCCTTATTTGTTATAAATTCTAGTCTTAAGATGAGCAGTCTATCATATTTGTGAATGGAGCTTGGGAAAAGCATACAGTTAAAAGTTGAAACCGATCATTTTCTTAAAGTGACATTAAACCCCCAGATTTTTTAACATAAAACAATACTGTAATGTGCGCCTTACTGTAATCCATGGTTGTTTCCCTTCTCTTTGCTGCTCTTCCTTTTAAATCCTCATGTCTTCCCATGCTTGGGGAGAACTTCCCTTTTCAGCTCAGGGCCTCTTCCTGTAGTGCTGGCTCAGGTTACAAGCCTATACAAACCTATACACAGACACCGTGTATCCATTCCTGAGACAAGGCAGTCTGCTGCAAAACAGAAGTTCTGCAGAGCATGAGAAGACATGAGGATTTAAAAGGAAGAGCAGCAAAGAGAAGGGGAAACAACCATGGATTACAGTAAGGCACACATTACAGTATTGGTTTATGTTAAAAAATCTGAGGGTTTAATGCCACTTTAACAGTAACAGAGATATTAAATATAATTTATTAGTTGCAGAGAGAAGATATTTCTATTAAGCAGAGCAGACACAAAGAACAGTTCTGGATTTATTATTGTTGGCACGAGAAAAGGCAATACAAGAGAATACACTTTGGGATCACTGGTGTCAAAATGAAAATATTGTCCACAGGCCACTGGAAGGAACAGAAGACAATTTCAGAGGGCGATGGAATGCAGCATTTGCTATATTGTGTTGAGACTTTTGGAATGCAAAATTTATAAATAAGACTTACTGTTCTTATCAATTATTTAGCTATAGGATATTTTTAAGTATTCCAGGCTGATATGATTTACTTTTCATGCTGATAAGCTAAAGTCAGCCTCTTCCTTCTATTTGTTGATCACTGCTTGAAAATGGCACTTGATGCTATAAAGAAACCGCTCTACTTGCTTTTACACAATGACAAATTGCAGTCCAGTGACTCTTGGCCATGGAAAATTGTCCAGTTCTGGTGAATTTTGTCTTTTAAAACATTTAGGGCTGAATCACACTTTTGCACCGTGGTAACCTGGGTATTATCTCAACGTACATTATTTGTGTCAGCACATTGCAGTGCCATTTATATTGAATAGCACCCCAATACGCTAAGCCAACACAGCTCCAATTCACATGTTTTGGGAGAGTGGGGGGGGGGGGGGCACTGCAGTGGAAAAGATGGTGCATGTACATTACTTTTTTGTCAAGGTGCTTTGCTAGTCAATTCAAAATGAATGGGCTGCTCTAATGCAACACACGTTAATGCGTGACATAAAACTTTATAGCAATGCATAAGAATGGCAGAATGTAATGGGTCCTTACTGCTAATTATATTGAACATAAACATAACTTAAAAATGTATTAATTTATGACCCTTTTTTTGCGATTTGTAGCTTATTACCTGTTTACAGCTTTCAGAGGAATAATCGGCTGTTCTTTTTCAGATGTTCTGTATCTTCTTTTGCATTGGAAGATAGATATTCTCCTTTTAACTGATCAGGTATGTTTGCTTGTGTAGCAAGCACACTCTTGTCTTTCATTATACGATTTCAATATGTCAAGTATTGACAGAAAAACTTAATGATGAATATTATTGAGTTCTGCCAGGTAAGCTATTTATCATATTCCTTCATCCATGCTCTCCAGTTTTATATGCTTAAGAGAGTGGGTGGTTGTCACCAGAACCCTGGTTTTAGATGTAGATTTTCTGGACAATGGGCTGGCAGATGCTGCACGCTAAAGCGGGTACTTGGTAATCTCGGGTTGTGACTGTAATGGATAGGACCAGAATTGAAGCCCCACACTGTGTTCAAGCCCAGATACAGGTGTATTCCAATTTTAAAATGTACACACAGCCAACATGTTTTTGGTGCCAAGACACGCCCCCTTCATTGGACATGGAAATGAACTGGTTCTTTTGGTGGTGTGTCGATTGGCACAAATGCTTGTCAGCAAAACCAGCTGTTGACAAGCATTTATGCTAATTTGACACAGACCCCACCGTTGACTGTTTATGTTACCAGAGATTCTTATGCTTTCTATATGGTAAATAAGAGTTTCTTAACCTTTGTTTATCTGGCACAATATGACATTATATACTTAATTCCAAAAGGCATTTTTCAGGAAGAACTGCAAACATTAGTTTGGCACTCCAAAAACAGGTTCTGAGATTCCCCTTAGGTTTCTGACACACAGGCAGTTAAAATAACATAATTTTCCCCCCCCCCAAAATTAATTGTAGTTTAGCTGGTTGATTTTAATTGTTACTAGTAAAACATTGCAAATTTGCACGGTGTACCCTCATCATTTTAGCGAATCTTGTAAGTGTAGTGTGAAATGTGGACTCCATATACTGTAAATTAATTTAAAGACTGAGACATAATTAAACTTATCATATGACCTTCCAGAAGACCACACCACTGTGCAAATCTAGTTGTTGCATTGTACTGTATTGCAGGGCTACTACAACAGGATGTACATTATAGTATCCCTACAGTGTGGAGAATTACACACACAGTCATATATCCTTTTTTAGTTCTTTCTCTGACATTTTCTGAAGGTGGGTCAGTGCTGATACAGTAGTCTTTCCTGCTTAGTCTACTACATCCACAATCAATGGAGCAACGTAATCGGAGTGTCTGATTCCAAAAGAAAACTGGGGGGCTTGAGGTCGAGACACAACCACCTGCGGAGAAAGGACAAACGTCAAACAAACGTGACATTTACTGCTACCATAAAGCAAAGAGCACATACAGTATGTGTGATGTTAAATATGGTACATCCTTCACTTTGCATTTGCAGTACAGTGCTAAAGGTTTGTTTCACTCTTGACTGCAGTTGTCACCATTGTATATTTTATATTCCAGGTAAAATATACCAGACTATAGAACACCCATTGCTAGAAACCCTGATGGTATGTAACATATATATATATTTTATGTTGCATTATTACAAACTAACAGGTTGAATGAGCACTTTTACTTTGTCTTGCAATTAAAGATTGGACACTAGCAAACAAAAAGAGGCAAGCCCAGGATAACCCCCTCCTACTGTCAGTATGCCTCAGTTCTTTGCCAGACATCTTTTCTTCAGCTCTTCTGTTAAGACTACCCTTATAATCATTTTTTTTCTAATCAAGACTCTAGCTGGTCTCCACAATTGCAGCTATCCGTTGCGGCTTTTCCTTAGCATATCCTTTGGCATGCCGTGTCCAGGCCCTGCTGGACTGCACATTGTGGGGCTAGCCTGGAACTGATCTTTGGACACTGGGTTCCATGTAAGGAGTTTCCCAGACTCCATTCTGGTAACACGTTAGTCACTGACCCCTTTCTAGTTCCAGAGCTATTGACATTGCCTTATCACTTGCCCTGTCTCTGATGACTCGCTGAGGAGGCCAAATGGGCATGTGCACTTGTTTCTACCACGGAAAGAGTTAACTCAAAGGGACTGAGAGATGACATCATCTGCTGGGTGGAGTGTTGCATGCATCCCGTGTTCTTTCCTGTCATGCAGTCTCAAGTAAGCATCTTCCAGCTGCTGCTCCTGCTTTCCAAAGTGCCATGTGGAACTATGATATTTAGTCCAGTCCTACTGCCCCCTCACATTGCCTTTGGTCACCTCCAGCCATCTGACCCCCTATCTGCTACCAGCTTTCTGGCCTCGCCTCATACCCTTTGAGGGACATGTCTTTTCAGATGAACTCTTGAGACTATTGTTAAGGATGTTGCATGAGGCAAGAGTACTCGCCTGCGTCAATGTAAGAAGGCTAAGGAATGGTCTACTAAAGCTGGGTATACAGGCTTTAAATTTTGGCAGGTTCTTGATGAACTGGCTGAAATTGGCTGTATGGGTGCCGCTGTTTGTACCCCTGCAATTGACATCCCTTGATCAGCTGATCTAAGGAGCCAGCTGGAAACCGGAGCTAGCAGCCAGCGACCGCTGACAAACGGGATTCGTCCATCAACACTGGTAAGCGTTGATGGAAAAATCTGTTCTATATTTTTTTCATTTAACCCGCTCAGCTTAAGTCTCTCCTCCCTTTTGTTGCTTTAACCAGAGGTATTCACGATTACATCTCTAAAACTTGGTTCTCTGGCCACCTGCATAGTCTGGAGTTGGAAGCTTGCAAAACCCTCTGAAAAGCCTTTATCAGCATTAAGGTGCACCACCACCAGTGGACCCCTGGATAGTTTGCCCTTTAGGCGCTTGGTGTTTCTACAGGGATATGGCTAAACATTTGCCCCCATCTCCCACTTCAGGCCCCCCCAGCATTCTTTTGTCACTGCACAAACTAGCAGACCTGCCCGTGCTCCTGTTGCCCTTGGCCTAGGTCTCATTGTCCCAGCTCCTGTGTCAAAACAGTTTCAGGTATTCTATCACAACCTGATCACCATTCTCTTTCCCAGAGAGAACATATGCCTCCCCTTTGGCCTGTACATCTAAAACGTTTGCATGGTATCCACCAGATATGCCATCCCTTCACCTACCTGGAGGGACTTTCTGGCGTCACGGTGAGCTAGGATGCACACATACAGGTCCCTCCCTGACTGTAAAATCTCGACCTGACTCCCCCTGTGCTCTCCTGGGTACTGGCCCTGTGTTAGCCCAGAGGCATTCTCATGGCATCCTCATTGTGGGATGCTTAAAGGAGAACTATGGGGTTAAGGCTTTTCCCCATAGTTCTCCTTAGGGTAACGGGAGCGTCCTCCAGCTAGCTTCATCCAAAATAGCGTCCTCCAGTCACCCTAGGCTCAGTATACCGCGAGCTGTAGCTCGCGGTATACTGAGACGCCACAGCAGCTCGCGGTATACTAAGACGCCGCAGCTGAAGTGGATCCCGACAATTATGTCTGGATCCACCCAGCTGCATGACTGACAGCTGGCTCTGCCTATCTAGAGGCAGAGCCAGCTGTAAACTTTCTATGAATAAAACAGTCGGCGAAGGTTCTGTTGGACACACAGTTTCCCTTGGTTCTCACTGTGTTTTCAGGAGCCGCTGTTTGGGATTCTTGGAGATAATTCTACTTCCTTTCACCCTCAAGGGATTCTTCCCTTGTAGGCCTTACCTCTGCAAGGTAAAGATCTGACCGGTCAGCCTTTCCAGGCCTGGATTTCCATTGCCCTTTGGGCCTGTGATGAATTCAGGTCATGTGAGGCTTAGGCCTTCGTCTGGACTTAGGCAGTTAAAGGAGAACTATGGGGTCAGTGTTTTTCCCCATAGTTCTCCTTAGGGTATCGGGAGGACACAAACTTCCGCTCATCCAGGACGTCGTTCTTCATTCCCTCTGTCCAAGTGTGCTTTTTCACGCAGAGTTTCTTTTCCTCTGTTGTCTACGATGCAGACTGTGACTATAGCTCTGAGCTACTGACACATTGGGGTTGATTTACTAAAGGCAAATATACTATTCCCTTTACAAGGGAATTTTCACTCTGCAAAGGAACTTTACTTTAGCTTAGTGACTGTGGTGAAAATTTACTTTGCAAAAAAAAAAAGGAAAATGTCAAAATACAATAATTTTGCTTGCACGTGATTGGGTGATAGAAATCAGCAGAGCTTCACCTCGTTCACTAAGCTTAGTAAAAATTCCCTTGCAAAGTGCACAGCTTATTTCCCTTTAGTAACACAACCACTTTTGTGTTGGGCATCCCAGGTGGATCCTGTTGAGTAATTTTTGGTTCTCCTTAGGTGGTTCTGGTTTCAGATCCAAACTGGGTTTTTAGGATCAGTTTCTTGCTTTTCAGTTGGGACTTCTTCATTGATTTGTAAGTGTATGTGGTTCTTCTGGCATCATGCATCAGTTTTCTATGGTCTCTGTTCTCACTTTTTTTTCTACCAGGTGAAGGTTGTGGTCTCATCTGTTGCCAACTTGGATGTAGGTTACTTAAGCAGCTCTTAAGCTGCAGGCAGTCCACAGTTTGCTGTTGTTTTTAGGCTTGTTAGCATTTGTTTGTTGGTTGCCCACCCCTCAGTTGGACTGTATTGGGATGTCCCAAAGGTAAAAGAAAAAGACAAATCCTTTTCTTTGAGTTCATTGAGGAATATAGGCCCCATCACTGTGTATGATTATGCTCTCTGTCCTGCTTGCTATGAAACTAAGCCATGCTGGCAGGAGGAGGAGTTTTGGACTGGCCTATGAATTGTTTTGTCTGCCAGTGTCCAATCCCCCTGTAGGCAGCAGTATAAACTGAAGCTGAAAGACTTCCTGTGCCCCTCAATGGACTCCAAAAAGGATTTTATAGTGAGTACAAAAATCCTATTATTCCTCACCAGTATTAAGAGTAAAATACCATCTGCAACTACTATCTTAAAACACAGCTTACCAATATGCCAAGTTGTTTTTGTGTAAGCAGATCCTATGTTGGTTAAGCAAAAACAAACTGCAGAAAACGATGCAGCACAAAAAAAGGCCTGCCTGATCTAGCACTAAAGTGAATAATGAAAACTGCTGCTTAACAGGAACCTGTAGAACAGAATTATGACAGCTGCCATTCCTGAGACACAGAGTCAGGTGTTACATGAAGTCTAACAATTGTTGGCCTGTCCGTTGCTTGTCCCCACACTGTTTCCCATATTTGACCATGCAATGGTTTAAGATCAGATATTCGACAGGTGTCAACTGTAGAGGACCTCTTACCCCTAACAAGTTGATATGTCAGACACAAAGTATGTAAAGCTAAATAATAGGAAATAAAAACTTCATAACTAACTCTCTATGTTGTAATAAATATTAAATACAGAATAATGAAATTATATTTCTTAAACTTACACAAAACAAAGCAAGACACTGAACTACAGCATGCAATAGACTAAAGCCTCACTTTTGCTTAAACACAGAGTACACTTGCATTTTTGTCTACTCTTTAACAGCAGTACACATACTAAAAACACACTTTACATGTGCAAATTATTCTTAGGATGTGCTGCTGATACAGAATACTGATTCCATTGTAGTTTATAGTTTACTCTCAGTGCCATTAAAAAATAAATCTTACCCTTTCTGGGCTATAGGCTCCTGGACCTGGTTTCTGTGTGGTGTCTCCAGGCAGGGAATTTCTGGCGGTCATACTGTACTGGGGAGGTTTATATTTATATGATGATGGATCAACAACGCGGTAGGTTCCAGGTCCTGGCGTCTGATATTGGAGAGGTTACACAGATATTTGTAGACAATAGAAGTAAGTAAAATGTAGCTTGAAGATGAAAGGGATATTAATACAGCCAGGACAATAAGACTGCTTACTTTTTGCAGATCTTCATGGAAGCTTCCGATCTTGCTTCGTCCAGTCATAGAGTAGTTCGGTGCTGACGATCTGCTAACAATTTTTGGCCCAAGCACAGATGGAAGCAAATATGCTGCTGGACCTAATATACATAAAATATAACCTTTGTGGCAAATAGCTCCAGAAAGTACAAGGTATAGTCTGGGACAGCAGGTACCTGCAGCCCAGGCTGGGGTTTATGGTTTGGTAAAAGGGTTTCAGAGAAAAAAAACCTTGGGTAGGAGTCTGGATACCTGTACTTTGAGGGAACTGGAGTCCGGCAAGGGAAAGAGTGGTTTCCCCAACCTCCATAATGTCCACTTAATCCTAGGTTTTGTCTAAGGTGTCTCATTAAAAGGCGGGTAGTCCTAAACTGCGGGATAAAGCTAAAACAATGTTAGCTTCTGTCTGTGAGATGAACATTCTTGGGAGCCTAGACACAGTCTTTGTCTGTGAAGCTAAGGGCCATGTCACACTCCGCAAGATTGCTGAACTTGGCGAAAAAATATTCACCTGTTTCCACAGTGTTGCTCTCTTACAAACAGGTTGCCACCCCTCCTTGGTGTACTGGTAAGGAGTTATATGATTTACCATGCACCAATTGTTACTGTCAGTGATGTCACAGACAACCTTGGGAGAATACCTCCCTAGAGTTCTCTATGTACTTTCAACCATTTCATGCCTGATATCCCCTTAACTTCTTAGCAGGAGGGGATCCTAGCCAGTATAGACAAATTGGGACCTTACTGGATGCCCTGTAAGTTACATTTCAAAAAAATTAATTACTTTTTATTTTGTTTTTATTGTTAACGATGTCATACCTATGCACTGTAGCTGGTATGTTAGGTCAGAAAAACCAGTTCATGCAAGGCAGATAGGTTGCACATAAGACCAGAAGAGCCCTCAGCCTCTCAGAACTGGACATGAGTGCTTTGGTAGGGGTTCCTTATATATTACCACTCTGCATGTCTTTACATTGGGATGGTATCAGCATAGCTGGGATTGCATGCACAATGCCACCTTGTCATGGGCATACCAGTCCTCATGGCTGGTGTGCTGGACTATTAGAATAAGGGAGCAATTTTATAAATAAAAAAAAATTAAATGAACCCTCCAAGGGATGAAAATACACAGTGCAAGTAGCACATTCACCGATCAGACATCTTCCAGGTTCAATGTGTGCATAATGTGGAAACTGCTCTCCTTGTAACGAAAGTAAAACCTTTCCCGGTAAGACTGAGTAAATCTAACAAGTCAACCAGTCTGGAGGCAAGGTAAGTAGCTGTTTTTATTGCTAAATCTACAGAATGCATTTTGGCTTTTCCGACCTGTCAATTACATGGTTTAATGTGGAACCCCAGCTAAAAGTAAAGTGGGGAACAGTTAGTGAGGCTTTTGTTGCTGTATGTATCCCACTAAAGGCGGTTCACTCTCACTTTCTGTTTTTGGGACAGATAGTAAAAAGATATCCAAAATGTTGCAGTTGTCACTGCAAAAGTGCAGAAGTGGAGAGGAAATCTCCCACCAGGGACACCTGCTCCAGTGACAATTGTTAAACATGGAGTGTTCTTACTCTTCCTCTTGTGACCCTGGGACACAATATACAGCACACAAATCTTGAACAGGTTTAAAAGGTTCTGACCCTTCCCTACTTCATCCAAAAAAGAAATTGACTTGAGTTCCAATTCAAGAACATGTGGTGCATCTGGTGGTGTTTATTTGGATGAATGGTCTTTGACCTCTTTGTTCAAATAGTGTGTTCTTCATAGTTGTCTCTGCAATGGTATTACATGTTTCAAATATTTTGTCATCCCCCAATACCTCCAGTGTTCTAACAGGCACACTTTTCCCAATTGGCATTTCAAGGATTTTTTAACTAACATTTTTAGAATTTAAACGTCACACATTTAGCACTTACCTGGTGTTTGGTCATTGCTAAATGTCTTTGTTCTTGCCCCTAGTGAATATATTGGAGCTGAGTGATAAGCAGTTTTCCCAGTATGCTCTGGATAGTAAGTACCTGTGTAAAGACACGCACACAAAGGAGAATTTGGATGATTTATAACACAAAACCTCTATCACAAACTGGGTGTTTTAATGCACAGAACATATCTTGTTAATACCTGGTCCTGGAGTTTTGAAAGTATTTAGATCCCTGGGTCTTCCATAGAGTGAATATGCTGGAGTGCCATCTTTGCCTCTCATGGTCATATTAGCTGGCACCAGATACCCTGGTCCTGGGGAGCAGTCATCAACAAACATGAAACGGCGACTACCGAAGCTGTATGCAGGTGCTCTGTATTTACTAGCATCATGCTCTATGTAACCTGCAAAAAGATCCATTCTGTAACTGAAAGCAGTTTTAGGGAGAGTATTCACTTCCTTATCATTGGAACATCATATCTATTCAAAACCACAAACCAATGTGCCAGTAATACAGGCACATGTCCTCCTTGCAATCACACATTTTATTACATAATATATAATACACTATAATATATAATATCATATTTGTGTTCTTAGAGTTAGATACACTAATGATTTTTTAAATAAAAACCTAACTGCATTGGGACGCTTATGAGCTTATGCCTGTTTCTAACAGACTTTTTCAATTCCTGCTAAATACAGTACCTGGTGATCCTGCCAGCCCTCCATCTCTATTTTTCATCCTGACCACGCCAAGCATGGAAGCAGATCCGTGCTGGCATGGTCAGTTTGCAGACCCCTGCTTCCATCTTTGAGATACAGGGCGCCATGCCAATTCATGGCGTTCCAGTATCTCTCATGGTCAGATTAGCGGCCATGTCCCCAGAAGCCTTGCTGTCAGAACATCAATTGGAACCCCGCTGCGTGACAAAAGAACATAGCCACCCTCTTTGGAAAGTGACATGCCCCCCGATACAGGACGGAGGACAATACAGGAAGCTTTGTCACCGTAAAATAAAACTTAAAAAAAAGGTAGTATGGCGGTAGCCCTCCGTCACAACTCGGCATTCCAATGCTTGTTAGTGGGCCCTCATAGATCTAAACATGCTTTGTTTGCAGACGACCTTTTGCTCTATGTCACCCAACCCCATGTTACTATGCTCGTCATTCTAAGGGAGTTCGAGCGGTTCGGGGGTCTGAGTAATTTTTGAGTTAACATCTCTAAATCAGAGATCCTCAATGTTTCTTTGGGGGTCGAGGATCTTCAACTCCTAACCAGCAACTTCTCCTTCCGCCTTTGCCCTGTTTCTTTGAAATACCTGGGAGTCCGTCTCCCTATGAACCTAGCTGATCTATACTCCCTTAATTTCTGCCCCTTACTTGAGGGAATATCCCGCGACCTGACGGCATACGACCGTAAACTCCTATCTTGGCTGGCCCAGATCAACGTGCTCAAAATGGACATCGTCCCGAAGTTCCTTTACTTATTTCAGACGCTACCCATCACCCTCCCTACAATTTACTGGAGACGTGTTCAACAGACATTCACTAAATTTGTGTGGGGCTCTTCTCGCCCCAGGCTTAGCTACAAAACACTGGCCATGCCGAAACCCAGAGGGGGAGCTAGTGCACCGGACATCTTCCTCTACTATGCCTCGGCGGTGTTGGTCCGCATTGTAGACTGGTTCCACCGGGCTGGGGACAAACAATGGGTGCATCTGGAGGCGACCCTCACAGCGGCTGATCTATTGGCCTTGCCCTGGATACCGTCTGACTCCAGGGTCCGGCCCCCCACGTTTCCTCTTTTGACCTCACACACCCTGAAGCTGTGGGATCGATACGTCGCTCGCTTGGGCATCTCATCTTATCTGGGTCCGATGACGCCACTCTTCGGTAATCCGGCTTTTCCTCCAGCATTGACAGAATCTGCATTGGGGCGGTGGGACAGAACAATCCACCGTCGTTTGATCTCAGCCCTGAGGGCCCTGCCCAGGGAACCCGATGGGTCCTCCGGAACAACACGGGAACTTGGTTAGCGGAGGGGCAGTTCCGCTCATTTGTTGCCTCCTTCCACACGACGGAATGCTTCCAGGCGGATCCCACTGCCTTTGACTCTCTATTATTGGCTTCCGTGCCTCCAACACACACGGTATCTCTTATTTACTCTGTCCTCTCTGCCGCGACATCCCCTACTCTACCGGCCTACACATCTGTGTGGGAACGGGAGATGGGGGTCTCAGTGACGGAGGCTGAGTGGGGCCGGTCATTCGTGCTTACCCACTCCCTGTCTATTGCCAGTAAGGCCCATGAGAAGAACTTGAAAATCCTGACTAGATGGTGCAGGTGTCCGGCGATCCTCCACCGTATTTACCCAGCCACCTCGGATTCGTGTTGGCGTTGCGGGGAACCCATGGGTCACATGACGCACATCTGGTGGAGCTGTCGTATGCTTCAGGAGTTCTGGCAGGGGATTCTGGGAATTTACCTCAGAGTGACGGGTACTACAGTGGCTAATGACCCTAAGATACTGCTGCTCTCGATGCTCCCCGGGTCCCTGAAGTCGGCAAAAAGAGGCCTCCTGCGACACTTTCTCACGGCTGCTCGGGCAGTTATTCCGCGACACTGGCGTACACCGGTGGTACCCACTCTCACTGAATGGGTTGTGGAAATGGACCGCATAGCCGATCTGGAGGACCTCTTGGCGGGGGAGCGTGGAAATGGTCCTGGATATGTACACACCTGGTCTGCCTGGCTCTTATTTAGGACATCGGCTGCTTTTCCGGCAGCGGTCTCCCCTTGACTCCCTGGTATCCTGAGGTAGCTGGATTTCCTGATGGAGAGTGGGCACCCCTCCCCCCCCCCCCTTTTTTCTTTCTCCCACTCGCCTTCTTAATCCTATCCTCCTTTCTGAGCTTCTCCTATGGCTGGTCTATCCCTCCTACCCCCCTGCTTTCCCATTCTCCTGTACCCTTCCTCTCATTAGGGGCTCCACTCTGGTTGACTCCTGCCTCCTATCTGACTCCCATATCACATGTTCTGCTGCACAGGAACCTTCTACTCAAGCTCTCGCTATAGTGACAACGCTTGTTGGCTGTCGTATATATGCATGGCCTTAAAGCTTTTGAGTGGGGGCGCTTACGGAGTGTACTTTGTTGACAGGCTAGCTCCCTGAATGTAATGCCGTTTGCACTCCATGCCAAACTATCTGTAGCTACTGACTGTGTGGCCTGCATTCTTACCCCCTGTCTGGGTCAGATGAGGGAAGAACCATCACTGCCCCGTGACATCCCTCTCCAGGAGTACCCCATCCCCTCCCCTATTGTATTTGTTGTAATGCTTATAACTACTTTATCACATGTATGCATGTTTCCTTTGTTTTGTTATGAAAATCTCTAATAAAATCTGATTGCACCAAAAAAAAGGTAGTAAATGGCGCTATTATTCAAAAATGTATGTGCTTTTGGTATAGCAATATTTACTGTATTAACCTATTATTTATTTAACGGTCGTTCCCAGATTACGCAAAAGGCTAGGGATTTGTAGGTTTGAGAGGTTATAGGGGGTAAAACAAAGTCCACATATTATAGGAACTTATATTTCTGGGTCTACTGATCTTTGATATGCATTAATTTTTTTCAAAGGTATTGATATGCATGTTTTAAAGGAGAATTATGGGGAGAGTGAAATACACTCCTCCCAATAATTAGAGCCAATGGGTGACACTGCAGCTGTCACATGTCAGCTCTATAGATAAAAAACTGAGCGATCACACACTGCTGATCACTCAGTTCCCGATCTTCCCCCTGGAGAGAGCGGTGACTGTTGCCCCCTCCCCTCTCCGTTCCTTCAGTGCTGACTGGAGGGCTGGACAGGGGAGGGAGCGGGCACAGTTGGCTCTGCCTCTAGAGAAGCAGAGTCAGCTGTCAATAAGGTGGCAGGGTGGATCCCGACAATATTGTCAGGATCTTCCCCGGTTGCAGCGCATCTCCGCACTGTCAGCACATAGCAGGCAATCGCCCGCTACATGCTGGGTTTTGGGTCACAGGAGGACACAGTAAATGTATTCCTTTGACCCTAAAGAGAACTATGGCCAAAAAAGGTTGGGCCATAGTTCTCTTTTAAATTAATATTTATTTTTTCTTTTGCCTTTACTAAGCATATATTCAGTTTACAATTGTCTGCCCTAGCATCAAACAGGTGATTGCAAAAGAAGGAATTTTCAGTGTGTTTGTCTCTCCTTTTTCCCCGCTATTTAAACAGACACATAAACAACACATACTGCACAAGTTTTCACAAGACCTGACCGTCCCCGTCAGGCTTCAGCATTTACCTGTGTTCCCTGGCAGTGCGTATTTAGGTCCTGGGCTGCTGTACAGAGCTGCAATTGGCCCCCGTGGTCTGTGGGGCCTCCAGGTTCCAATATGAACTTCGGCCGTCATAGTGAGCTTGTGTTTGGAATGTCAGAAACCATGCACAAGGACCGGGTATGACTACAGGGAAAGAAAAAAAATGTATTGATTAACTATATTACAGTAGACAAATACATAGTAGATACAGAGAGTGTCTAATTCATTGTGTTCATTCTCATCTGATAGTCAAGACTGGTTAGATAATGTAATGTATGATCACAATTTTTTGGGGTCCCTTTAACAAGTTGCAATAACTGTCATTTGTTTCTTAATCCATGATCAGTCACATATATCAGTGGCAGAGACAGATACATGGAATATGTTGCTACATTGAATTAAAGGAGTTAAGTTTCAGCATATCCTATCCTGTTATAACATCAGCATTGTAATAGGAATACATACTAGAGTTGCTTTGTATAATGCAATCAAAGCTTACTTGAAAAAATCCCTTTTATGTAGTGATCGCTGCCATCTGTCTACCCATCACTTCCATCACCTTCCTGGATTCCCAGTGTGCATTGCATCTCTTTCCCTGCTGTTTCATGTGATGCAATCTTGATCTCTCAAAACTACATATCCCATCTTGCATTGCTTCCAGCCAGCAATGATAATGTTACACTGTTCAGGCATTGAGTTGTATTTCAGAAGGCAGGTTGTGTGAGAGTGGTGACACAAGGAAGTGCATATTCAGGGGGCTGAGTGAAATTGTGTCAATGCATTGAGGAAGTATATCCTATTCACATCTTCAATACGTTTACAAACTTCTCCATTGATATGGTTATTAGGAGTGGGATAGATCTTCTGGAAATATAATATAGAACTACATATTTAGTTTTAGATTTCGACCATAGATACCCTGTAATGTAAGTGCACATTAGTGTCGAACTTTGTAGTTAACCTCTTGCCGTCCGCCCGTAGTAAAAAAACGGACGGACGGCACTGCAGCATCTGCGGGTTGCCGTCTCCAGACGGCAATTTTTTTCTGCTCGCGCGCGCCCCCTAGCGGGCACGCACGGGCAGAAAAGACCCGCTAAATGCACACACCCGTTACCGGGTGTTTCACATATAGGCGATCGGCGGGTCCATAGCCCGCCGACAGGAAACGCACCTGCACTTGAGGTGAGCGTAGGGGGGCGTACTGCTGCGTAGTCCCATAGAGAAGTACGGGGGCTGCATGCTAATCACACTAATCACGATGTGAAACAGGCCGTTATAAAGACGAATGTTTTCATGAGCTCCAATATTGAATACACAGGACACATCTTGTGTAGATTCTGTTATTTGTGTCACCCTGAGTATAAACACACATGGAAGAAATGTTCAATCAGACAGTGTGTAAAGTCAGAGATGTGAGTACTCACGGGTGCTTGATTGTATCAGGACGGTTTGTCTCAAACAGGTTCAGACTTTGCACTGTGTACTGCTCTGCAAGATTTGGGATGAAAACAAGCCTGTATTGTTGATTTGGAGTCCTCAGGAACTTAGAGAGCTTTCATGTTTATTTATTCATTTTTGTACTACATTTTTGACTCCCCGACCCTCATTTATACTGTACTGCGATTTGATCTTCTTTGATCACTTCATTCTCTGTTCTCAGGTTTTATTAAACAGTAGAGGGTTGGTCTTTAGAGAGTCATTTGAAGCTTATATGCTTCTTCTTTTAACCCTTCACAGGGGTTAATTAAATTTGGGTCTGGTACTCTGGGTATAAATCTCCTGTTTTTCACTATGGTAAGGCTATCCATACACATTTCATCTGAACTTGTTAGAATCAGTCGATTCCCCCATTCATGCTAAATGGCATGGGCGGAGGACTCTCGGCTGCTGGCTAAGCCAAGATGAAAAGCACAGGAACATGACCTCAAACTAGCAGGAGCAAAGTTCAAAACTAACCTTAGAAAGTCTTTTATTAAAAGAGTAGTTGATGCCGATAAGACTTCCAGCAGGGGTAGTGAGTCAGTCAACAGTAAGTGAATGTAAAAATGCCTGGGACAGACCTAGATCTATAGGCAAAAAGGTTAAAAAAAAAATAGCATAAAACAAGCTAAACCCGAACACCCACAAAAAATCAAAAGGGGCAGACTCAAACGACCACTTGGTATTTTTCTGTGGTACTGCACGTTAATTGGCGATCAATCGGTGACCCACCAAGGGGTAATGACTTGCAGTGGATGTACTGGCCTTGGAGGCTGGGACATCCACTGTCAGCCAGCCATAACCGATCACAGGTCAGGTGACCGTGGGCCGGACAGGCAAAGGGCTGGATATGGTCCATGGGCCCAGATCTTGCCTGCGGTGTACATTGCCAGGTGGCAGTTGGGCCCGGTCTCCCTAGCTGTAGCAGGGACTTTTTACATGCCCCCGGCACATACTGTTCATTGAGCAGAGCCCACACACCTTCCATCATCATTGTCCACATCCAGAGAAAATAAGACACTGTCTTATCCTGTTTTTATTTGGCTCACAAAAACACACTAGGTCTTATTTTCGGGGTAGGTCTTCTTCTTTTTTTTTTTTAATGTACAACAATCCACACTTATTCATGTAGAAAAGTCTACATGTATTCATGTACAAAAATATGGTGATCAGGGGTGCCTACCTTTCCAAGTGCAATTTGCTAACCAATCGCTGGCCAGAATGAGCAAAGCGCTCTTTCACTATGGATTACTCACAGGCGGAGTGCATTTGGTATCACTCCGCCTGTGACAGGAGGCGGGGCTATAGAGGAGGAATCGGCTTATGCAGCTCTGCTCCCTCCGGTGCTGCCTTGCTTCATCTAGCTCTGGCTTCGTTGGCACCGCTGATTCTCTCCCGCCTCTTCAAGTTCCCCCTTATGCCACCACCGGCCCTGGGAATGGTCACAACTGGGTCTTATATTTTAGCAATTCCCAAAAATAGTACTAGGTCTTATTTTCGGGGTAGGTCTTATTTTCAGGGAAACGGTATTTATTACAGGAAAGAAAATCTGGAAAAGCTTTTACAAATGTGAAAGATGTACAAAACACTAAATTCGGTTGAACAATATAATAATAGCTCATGCACTTGCTGCAAATACACTGTAGGTTTATGAACTTCCCTGTGACTGATTTTTGCAGCAGCCCTTAAATCCCAGAAAGAGTTCTGTCAGTGAATACATGAAAGGAGAATTGCTTTGAGCCAGGAATCCTGTCAGGGACATTACTGAAAATCAGATTCAGAAGTTAGCACCAGCAGTATTTGTAGGTGGCTTGCCTGCTCACGTCCTGCTATTCAGAAAGCTCTGTTCATGAGCAAAGTATTCCCATACCTCTGTCTCTTTACCCCAGTCTATTCACTAAACATTGTGTCCTGGTTACCAGGCTCGGAGGCTGTTACTAAAACAAATCACATTCATTCAATTCACTCCAAAATACAAAGGGACTGAAGAAAACCACAGGAGCAAAGAGTCACCCGTAGGCCCCTTTCACACAGGCTGATCAGGAGGGGCCCGTGCATGTATCTCCTCCTGATCACAGCAGTACGGGGTGGATGTCACCTCTGTGGCTATTCATGTCCATCCAAAACTGATGTCTATCTAATTGGATGGCCAGAGTTGATGCCCGTCTGTTTACACACGGCTGCCCATAGACAAGCATTAAGCATCTGAGCGGGTCAACCAGAAAAAGTGACAGGCAGACCCGATCGGACCACCAGTGTAAATGGGGCCTAAATGTTTTCCTGTTAAAGAAACATTTTATGTTGATATATACAGCATAAGAATATTATTTTGATACCGATTTATATACTTTCTTATGACACAATAATTAGTTGTTTCAGGCCTAGACTAGTGATCAATCATTGCCCCATGTGGTCAAACGTTTATAATGAGTAACTAGCTGGTTTTATTTACTACATGCTAGTGCTTGCAACTCTATAGCAACAAGCATGCCTCCCATGACAGTATAGGGATATACATTGACTATAGTTTTTCCATGTACAATACAGACATAGTTACTGACCTCAAATGATGTCTGTAGTTCATAAATTTATTTTATAGTAGAATGTCAATGTGTTCAAATATACACAATCAGAATTTAACATAAATCACTGCAACAGGTTGAATTAAAGCTGAACTCCAGGGGACAAAATGTTTTTTGTCATACAGAACAAGTCACATGATTGTAAAAAGTGCATCATATGTGTGGATGGCTGCTATTCCTACTGAACCAATCCTCTATAGATCTGGCATCAATGAGGGGGAGAATTTGTACAGAAAGCAGTAGCCATCCACATATAGGATACAATTAATTAAAAAAAAGAGGGGGCTCTGATGTGAAGGGGGCTCCTAGTGTGAGGGGGGGACAAAGATTGGGACTGGGTTGGAATGTGTAACCGGTCACGTGGTCACACATTTTGACCTAATCATGCCCACTTTTTCACATTCTGTGGAATGTGAGATTGCACTCAGAGTCAGATAGAAGTGACATTTCCGGACCCATCAGCTGTTTCATGGCAGATCGGTTCTCCTGCACACACGATCTGCGATGACGATCTGCCCTGGAACAGCTGAGAAAGCGTTGGAATTCTTCTCCTTTTGCCGGTCACATATTTTCCCGCCGAAAAACTGGGTGGGATTACATTAAAATGTATGACCATGTCACCGGTCACACATTCTAACGCAGTCACAAACTTTGATAGAACACCTGCACCCATACAGATGCAGATGTTGTTCAGATATATTGTCAGATAGGGGGCCGACAGTCAAAATACAATAGCCGCAGCGGGAGATTCCTCTATCCACACTGTTTCGTGTGGATGGGAGAATCTTAGATTTTTTTTTTTTCATTCAGCCCATGACATGGTATACCCAGCTTAATTAATTTCAACATGGAAGATGTTTCTAACTAAAAAAATTTGCTTCCACAAACTACCCAGTAACAAAATCCTTTGATACTGTGTGTGCTTGGCTGTGACTGAACATTCCTCTTAGGTTCAAAGATTTAGAGAATGTCGGAATAGTGCTAACTTAGCAATTTACTATATCATATATCATAACACTCCCACAATGATTTCTAAGCTGAGCAGCAAAGAGGAAAAAACGTAACAGCATAATACGGG